AATCTGACAATGCGCAATAAGACCCATGTTAAATTATACATGAACATAAATACGTACGTAACGTTATACACAATGACATGGGAATATCACGCGTGCGCGCACCACGCCGTCACATTTTGCACGTGAACGCGTGTATGCCTATACTACACGCACAATGTTCGCTAAACTCTCCACAACGAGCTAACACTTTGGAGCCCCAAACCTACATTTATATCTTATCAAAAGTTTACTTTAATGCCTCCAGTATTATCTATGAACACTAGCGGACACATCCTAATGCCATATTGGGTAGCGTGCAGTTTGCAAACAAATGATATTTCAATTCAAAAACGAGCTTCAAAAGTTGACAACGTACCTGTGTGAGAATTCGGCAGTGAGGTGCCGGTCAAGGGTTACGCAAGGCACAGGTCACGTACATAATAAGGGGCGTGGCTTAACTACATGTAAACACTACGTGCATATCATACGCACACTCTACAACTCTTTCCCGCCTAGGGAGGCATCGCCCTCGATGCCTGGAGGCAACTTTCTGGCAAGAATTGGCAGTTAACGGCAAGATTAACACAAACGTCCCAATACCTTTAACACTAAATAACTCGGAACGACTTTAACAGTTATTCAAAGCTCCAGGAGCTTAACACTAGATAACATGGATAACTTTAACATTTCTTCTAAGTGAATTAGCTTAACACTAAGTTACAGGGATCAACTTTAACAATTCTTCTAAGTGAAGTAGCTTAACACTAAGTTACAGGGATCAACTTTAACAATTCTTCTAAGTGAAAAAGATGTACTCTACAACTTAAGTCTATCTGGGGGCTTGTTCCGAGTGGCACGAACTGGATAGCGAGATCTGCTCGCATCATGTGTCCCGGTACCAGCATCTGAAGGAATCTCCCCACAAGTAACATCTGCATCTGCCACCTCGTGGGTGGAACTAACGTCTGAGTTGGCGTTGCCAAGCAACAAGGGGAAGTCTACTGGTTCGCCACGGACTGGTGCAGTGGTCGTTGGATACAGAACATGGCCAGTCGACCTATGCAGGGATTCCTCCCCTGAAGAAGAGTCATCATCGCTCCCACTTGTGAAAGACTGATGAGCAGGTCCCTCCAACAACCAAGGGCAATGCTTCAGGTCACTGCGATTGAGAACTTTCTCCTTGCCCAAGTGGTTCCTAACAACGTAGACTGGACCGTCCGGGAAAGGACGACGAACAACTAAGTAGGGATCCTGCTCCCAGTAGTCCTGAATCTTGGCACGACCTTTATGACTACGACAACGGACCAGGACATACTGTCCAACATCAAGGGGCCGCTCAAAAACCTTGGCAGCTCTTACAGCCTTTCTTGCTTGGATAGCTTTCTCGTTGTTTCCCCTGGCAATCCTCCTCGCCGTTTGCAAGTGTGACTGGTGGCGACGCATGTAGTCTCCCATATCACCAGCATGTAGGGCTTTCCCGCCTACGTCTGTACTCAGTGGGAAGCGTCCATTTCTCCCAAACATTAGGAAAAATGGATCCACTCCCGTTGTCGCATGTCTTGTGTTGTTATACGCATAGACCAATGCTGGCAGATATTCAGGCCACCTCTTCTTCTTGTGTTCCGGGAGTGCGGCAAGCATGTTATGCAAGGTCCGATTATATCTTTCACATTGGCCATTACCAGCAGGGTGATAAGGCGTAGTATGACTCTGCTGTATTCCGTACATCTGGCCTAGACTAGATACAACCTGGGACTCGAAGTTACGCCCACGGTCAGAATGTAGGCGGAGAAGGCATCCGAAGGAGAAGAACACATTGGAGACCAAGGCCTTGGCAACTGTTGAAGCCTTCTGGTCCTTCGTGGGGATCGCCCACACATACTTGGTGAAGACGTCTGTTACCACCAAGACGTTCTCATGGCCACTACTAGAAGCTTCCAAGAGGGTGTAATCCATTGCCAAGACTTCCAGTGGGGCAGTTGCTGCCAATGTTCCAAATGGCGGCCGGGTCTGTCGAGTTGGAGCCTTGCTGACTGCACAGCGTTTGCATTTCCAGTCCTTGGCAGCCTTCTCCATGTTGTGCCAGTGGAACCGATCCCAGAGGAGTTGGAAGGTTCGCTTTGGTCCAAAGTGCCCTGCTTCGTCATGGAACCTAACAAGAGTCTCCTCTTGGAGAGCATCAGGGAGCACAAGTTGGAACAAAACTTGGTGAGTAGCTGGAGATACCACTTTCCTTCGCAAAAGACCATCTTGCATGGATAGCCGCTTCCAGTCACGCAAGAGAGCCACAGCCTCCTTGGAAACGGTTGCTCGTTCACCATGTGTAGGTTGCACCCCTCTTGCAACGAAATGGATAACGCTCTTCAGTGTGGAGTCGTCCTGCTGAAAAGCTGCTATCTGCTCCACCGGGCGGCCAGGGAGGCAAGAGATACCGCCTATCTGACATGCTTCTATGTGGTCGCGGACCGAGACTGGGACAGCTGTCTGGGACGGATGCCAATCTAGGGAAACATTGATTGTCGCACTTGATACAGGGGCGGTACAGTCCAGCGGATTTTCCGCCGGAGTACCTTCACAACTTCCGAATTCCGCCCGTCTCGATAGAAAGTCAGGAACTTGATTGGCCTTTCCTGGTCTGTATACCAGGTCATAGTTGTATGCACTCATCTGCAAGACCCATCTCATCTCCGTGCAACCCAAGCGAGCCTTGTCAAGGAACAGAAGAGGTTGGTGATCTGGTGCCCAAGGTAGCGAACTTCTGGTTGCAGCAGATGACATTTGGCCGGCTTTAATTTTAGCCCATGCTCAGAAAGCCTCCTGAATACCCTGTCTAAGTGCGCCATGTGGGAATCAAAGTCCGGCGAGTAGACAATCACGTCATCAAGATATATCAGGACATTGTCATGGTTCTGGTCCCCAAGGCACCTCTGCATAAGCCGTTGAAATGTGGCTGGGGCATTAGTAAGGACAAAGGCCCAGAAATTACCCACTCGCGATCCCTGCTTTTTGCAGCAAACGTGGTCAAGTCGACGATGCCCTATAGCTTCTCCTGAAAAAAAAATGAACCCCTAGTAATTCCCCTTGAATCATCTTAAATCAGTTGTTTTGCAAGTTGCCTCAAAAATTTAAGTCGAAAGTCATTTTCTAGCTAGGCCTCCAAGGATTTTCAGTTGACGGCCTGTAAGCAAATACTACTCGAACGAACATCCTAAGGACAAAGTATCACAACAACAGTTTCTCTTGCAGTGACGTAAGTACGGGGGGGGCGCAATTACAAAAGTCTTGATTAGAAAAGCTATATTGTATACTGTTGAAAGCTAGATTTCATTTGCCTTTTATAACTTTCCCTGGAAAAGTTAATGACCCCCCGTGCTTCTTCAAGTTTGTCCGTAGTTACGCCGCTGCTCTAGCAATCTCCCGATAACATCTGACGTCTCGTCTCATGGGCATGGTACACAGGGTAACCCTTCACAAACCCTCAGTTGACTGTGTCGTAAAGCTCGAATGGGCCTATACTTTCACTTTTGTGCGGTACCAACATGTATTCCGTGATCTAGGCCCTATATGTAGCCCCTGCTCTCAATGTAGCCCCAACCCTGTATCTCAATGTAGTCCCTGCCCGAAATGTAGCCCCAACCCCGTACCTCAAGTCAACGTAGCCCTAGCCCTACATGTAGCCTAACCCCATGGGCGTCGCCAGGAATTCATAGGGGAGCAGAACGCTCACCTTGTACTTTCTCTATATCATTTCAATTTATCATTTTTTCGAGGGTGGCCAGCGAAACTCATTTTGTTTTTGTTTTATTAAAAACAAGAAAAACAAATCAACAAAGAAGCAAAACGGTAATAAGATGGGTAAGATATCTATTTTCTCTAATCAAAATGATATACTGCTTTCAAACGTTGTTAAAGTCATGCTGCACCCAAAATTAATTCCCATTTTCTCAGAAGAAATTGAACAATCCTTTTATTAAAAGAAGGGGTTTGCCCCCTTGTTTCTGGCAGTGGCTGCAATTGCGTCGCAGCATAAGGTGCTACATAATGGATCTTATATTTCTCATGAACTTCATATACCTGTCTTTAATAACAGACATAATATCCAGCGCCTTGAGTACCTATTTATTGGTAGATGCGTGCGGTATATAAGATTAATTTACTTTGTAAAGACAATTTAAAACTAATGTCGATGACACTGAATACGCGAACACATTCAGGAAATGTAAAAGTTCTATAGGCGGTTTCGCAGTCATTTTGTTTGGTAAAGCACTGAGGTTAACCGAAAATACTCTTTGTACTTTTTCAAACCTTGACGGACAGGTATCAATTGAGCTGAAACTTTCATAAGTTAGTTTTTATATGCGGCCTAGTTAACAGGGGCGGATCTCCAGGAAACGGGGGGGGGGGTGTTGATATGAAGTTGGAGGGATATGGGATGAGTGAAGCGTGCTTTCTCCTAAATTCTAAGGCAATTTAAGAATAAAATGAGAAACTCTAGCATTCCATTGATTATGTCTGGCCCTATTTTACTGGTTTTCGTAACATTACTTAGCGGATTATAATGTGAGGGGGGTTGCGAACCCGCCCCCATGCTTAATGTCCTAGCAATTTTTGCTTCAAGCAATACAAATATGCATACAAAGTTTCCCATGTGTGGTGAACAAAACGCATTTGCTACTGAGCTGTAATGAGAATCTTGCGTAGTCTGATTACACGAATAATGAACCTCTAGATCTGTACTGATGACGTCACACTCTGTTTGCTTGTGTGCTTTTCTATGGGGCTACAAAACTGTCCTCCCCACTCGGCACCCCTAGAAGCACACGTGTAAACAATTTGTGACGTCATCAGCTCAGAGGCTTATTAAGTTGTGACGTCATCAGTACAGAGGTTTATTAAGTAATAAGCCTCTGTACTGATGTCGTCACACTTTGTTTACATGTGCAATTATGGGGCTACGACTACGAAACCGTCGTCCCCACCAAGCTTCCATAGAAATACACACATGTAAACAATGTGTGACGTCACTCTGGTTTTCCGTTTTCGTCTCCAAGGGGCGGGACAGGATAACCCGGGTAAGGTGGCGGTGGATCATCCATGCGGGCTTCGTAGTAATTGGCAGGAGGAGCATTGGGCGGTGGTGGACTCGTGGTGGCGCTCTGCATTGGAATTGGAGGTGGCGGTGGCGGGTGGTAAGTCACGTCGTTTTCTGCATAAGGGTTGTAATGCCCTGGCGGGGAAACTGCGAATATGAACGGACAAAGTATCAGAGATGTTTGAAGTTTCCAAGTCTACAGAATGGTAATGTTCCCTCATGGAAGTTATCTCATAAGCTATTTCGGTCGGTCAAATTAGGTATTTCGGACGGCTCATCCAGCGACTTTGGGGGGGGGGGGGTGGTTGAGGGGGGATTGCCCCCGCCAACATTTTGCTTTTTGTTTTTAGGAAATTAAAGTGCCAGAACCTCACAACCGCTAAAAGGAACACTGAAACATTGCCTGGGTTAATTTTACCAAAGAAAGGGTGAAAACTGGAACTACCCAAAGTTGGGTTGTTCTATAACCAATTGTTTGGGTTATAATTTCTGCTAAATTCAACCAAAACTTGTGGTCATTCAAGACCAAATTTGATTTGTAAATTTGGTCTTGTATGACTACAAATTTTGGTTGAATTTAACATAAATTATAACCCAAAAAATTGGATATAGAACAACCCAAGTTTGGGTTGTTCCAGTTTTCACCCTTTCTTTGGTAAAATTAACCCAGGCAATTTTTCAGTGAACCTAATGAAACCCCTCCCAGCCTCGCCTTTGCCCCCCGGCGACATTTTGCTGTTTAACAGGGGCCAAATCTCGAGTATCACGAATCCGCGACGATAACTCAATCACTAGCTGCGACCTGAATTACTTGGTTATACGAGTGACAATCATACACGCGCCAAGGGAAACAATTGACCTCAATTCGCCTATAAAAAAAATGATGCCACGTCAAAGTCTGATGCAGCCATGGGATTATCCGAGTTTCATCTGGGCGACTCAAATGGTGTCCAAATTTTCACAATCGCGTTTCATACCTTCATACCCAGTTTTAAAGAGTTTTAATTATATTGCTGATTTAAATTAAAACAGTTTACTGTAGGTTTAAATTAGCAATACAATGTTGGTTGCGGGTAGGCACTACATCTTTTTATTCTTTTTTTCTATATCTATTCTCGCCCCATCCGACCGTGCAGTTCTCATCTAATCAAATAAAAAACGTGTCTATTTTTCCCTTTGCTGCCAGAATACTTTTTTGGTTTGTTCAATTTCCGCTCGCCGACATTGATCTTACCGTTCACTGCCGGTCCCTGACGAATACTGCGCCGTCTGATGACTGCCCGTAGTATCAAGGAGAATACCACAAACGCTATTAAAACAGCGATCACTATGACAACAGTGTAGGTCGTGCTTTGTAACAAGGGGAAAAGAGAGGTGAAAAGTTTTAAAAGATGACAAAAGATGTGAAAAATGTATTTCTTTGAAGTTGGTGTATACTTGCACCCTCATCTACGGTCTCAATATATGCAGATCATCGGTGAACAAAGGACAATTGCCAACATAATATAATTTTGATGGTAAACTGTCTGTTTTTTCCTAGCGACATGTCAACTCGTATGTTCTCTTGTTTAAACGAAAATCCCATTAAAAAATAAAATCTTGTTTTCAGTTGTTTTTGCAAACAGATCCACATTCATGCGAGTAGACCGATTCCCGTGCGATACATGATAAAGGAAACGATGGCCAGTCTATTCTCGTATTATTATGAGCTAGCTAGCTGCATGCAAAGTTCATGATAAGTTACCCATAATGCCGTCCGTAATTCCTTCACCGTTCTGTGAAGTGGCATCAGCCCTTCCCAGCGCCCTGTTCGCAGGGCGCGCGGGGCACCAGGTACGAGCGAAATCCTTCACGGGCATGTGATACCAGCGAAAGTGTACCGGCGAGGAAGAGAGCTTCCACGCTGAAATAAAGGTTTTCCAAACTTCGATTTCGTCTGTGGTTGCAGCTTCGGCTACAAGAGATTTTAGGCCCCCCTTTAAGACCATGTACGTCACACTGTTATTTCGGTAGTGTAAAAATCAAACAGTTGTGATTATAAACCTAGCAACCTGTTGTGTAAACTGTTGTTTACACATCTTGTGTAAAATATTACACAACTTCTTTATTTTTTTTCACAATTGGTTGCTAGGTTCATATAGTACACAACCGAAATAACAGTGCATATTTTCTTTACAAAATTAGATGCTGTGGTCACATGATGTCAACATTCAGCAAACGGTTCACTTCTTCAATATCCATTGAAATGTGAATGGGTTTAAAATGACGACATACTAATTAACATCGACAAATTACAGTAAAAGATGCTTAATTGATTGGGTTGCCCATCGGAGGCCAGTCGGCATGACGTCACAGGCAACATTATGTGTATTTGGTTGAGTCTTGTTCCATGTTATAGGTCCACCTTTTTGCTAAGGAATATACTAACCGCCCCGTCATTTTTTCATCCAGTAATGCTAGTTATATATTTATTTATATTTTATCCCACAATGGCTTTCACTTACCTCCATCCACTTCCTGATGAGTCATTATAAAATGTTTCATAGCTATATTCGTCGCAACAAAAATTATTGGTGCCAGAGCTGCTGATGCAGCAATAGGTTTCATCAGGGTCATCCGCCCAGTAATCAGGTCTTGGGCAGTCAAATGCCTCCACGTAGTCACCGAACGGGTCCGTGTACCCTGGGCAACGATCGCCTAAAATAAGACAATACTGCATTGGTATTTTAATTCGAAAGCAAAGCAAAGCAAAGCAAAAGCCAATTGTATATTCATCATTGTTTTGAAAAGTCAGTTATACTTGGTAAATTAACATGCCCCCCCCCCTAAAAAAGCTACTGAACCATGTTGTATTTGCACGGGTTATTGTGGCCATTACTTTCTACAAAATGGTTGGAAATTCTTCTTAATTGACATTAAAAAAATCAAAATGTTCTTTGCACGTTATACCCGATAGTTAAATTTTCTGTTTAAATCTTTCAGTGTTATAATGGCCTGTGCACATCTAACTTGGCTCACCTAATACTAATGACAAGAAAATCGACGTTAAAAACGGACGAACAGGTTTGTACAAAACGGGAGGAATAATCAGAACATTGAGACAACATGTGCTGGAAAGGTTCTTACCGATTGATTGTCCAAAAACTGACAGCAATAGAATGCAGACAAGATTTGTATTGGCAGCCATTTTGGTTGACACTTCACTTTGCTGGTGTAAAGTTCGTCAACTTATACAGAGACTAAATGTCATCAGTGATTATAATACTCGGCTGGTGGTAGCATACGTCAAAACGAAGAGTCAAGTTCAAAGTCTCTTTTGTATTCAGAGTTCACGTGTAGAGTATTCAGTAAATATTGTTGTCTATGAATCCATGAACCAAAGAGTTCTTCCCAGAATTAATGCACTCCACAGAGTTCTTTCTTTGCCGGTGAGGGGGTACTTGTGAACGAGCGGATAGGGAAAACGGAGAACGAATTGTGACACGCACCTCGACGATGAGGGTGCAATCGGGTCGAGAACAAGGCATTATAGATATTTATGTAATATGGACCAATCAAACAGGAGATGGGAAGCCTGAACCGTTCAACTCACTCCACGCTGCATGTATCTGTAAACGGAAGACTGGACCAAGACCCAGAAGCGTAGTCAAGTCAACCATGATTTAGATGGCCCTCTTACCGCCGCGGCGGCTTGGCAGAGATCGTCTGAAGAAGAAGAAGACAGAATCCACATTCAGTCTCATAGGCCAATACTACTAGAACGCGTCATTCCTTGAATTATATGCCGTTCCCAACATCAAGGACAAACTATCACGACAGCAGTTTCTCTTGCAGTGACGTAAGTGCGGGCTGCATTCCATTTGAAATCTTAAACAAAAAACAACAACAACTACTCTTTACTGTTGAATGCTACGTTTCATTAAACGATATTGTTGACTGATGTGATATTGTCATTGCTGTGGGATACGATGTTTCGCCAAGGGTGCTATGCGCTCCGAAGGGGTTAAATCGGCATATCCTACATCACAGCTAGCAGTCAAGAATTGTTTTGTTATATCGTGAGAATAAGTCAAAAGGTTAAATGGTTGGAAGTTACTTTGCAAGAAATAAATCAGTGCGTTGTAAATCTCTTGATAACTGCAGGTTTTCCTGCTAGAGATGAGACTCAGACCGTTATTGGGCACGCATTGCATGGACCTTATTCACGAGGTAGCAAATTTTGGTGTGTTCCCTGAATGTATTTCATAAATTGTTAACTGTTTAATGAGATGGCGCCAGACTATTTATGCAGTCTTATTTACTTTCATTTTTTTTAATCTGGCCTAAAACATCAGGGAATGTTTAGCTACAAAGTTTAAATTATTCATTTAAGCAGACTTGAACTATTTAGTAATGTTCTTGCTTTCATTTTTCTTCGTAAGTTCCATTAAAATGAAGATTTGACGTCACTTTCAATTCAACATGGCCGACTCGTGAATAAGGCCCTTGCAGCAAGCTAGCTCAGCGTTCAACGCACATTCAAGCAAACTCGTATCCTCGATCCTGATTCGTCGATCCATGGCAACAACAATGTGAGATTGTTGACTGCTGTGATGTGGGATGTGAGGGGCGCATAGAACCCGAAGCGAACCCGAACAGGGTGCTATGCGCCCCGAGGGTGTTTAATACGTCATATATCCCACATCACAACAGTCAACAATTATTGTTTTGTTATACCTCTGTCTTGGATTCTTTGGATTTTGATGTAAAATTTCAAGAAAACAAACAGCAGTAAACACAACAAACATGACACTCGAACATCAACTCACATGCATGTCGCTTGCATGCTCGAAACAGCCGATTGTCTGCTAATTCGCTGCTCCCACACGTGTGAAAACATGGTGAAAGTAGCATAGGTACCAATGATACAAGCGTTTCACTCTGCAACGAGGTCATAGCACACTCACTGTTGGATATCACAGACGTGATAAGAAATATACATGCGCTTTTGTAGCACTAAGGATTCGTAAATGGGGAGCCAGCCAAGTCCACGCTTCTAATTTGTTCGCTCGGCGCTGCACGGTTACAAGAGAATCCTGGATTTCCGGATTTTCTCCAAGGAAAATTCCCTTACTTGGAAAAAATCCTAAAATGGTCTCACTGATATAGCCTAACCGTGTAGCGCCGATCGAACATAAGAAGCATAGGCTTGGCTGTCTCCCATTCACGTGCTCTCGAAGCGCTGGTAGTGGTACAATGATTTTGTTTGGGAAAAATCCCGAAAACAATGGTCTCACTGGTAACCATGAAGCATGCAGCGAGCGTACGTAAGCATAGGCTTGGCTGGCTCCAAATCACGTGCTTATGATGCGCTGGGACAAGATTGTGCTTTAGAAAAATCCCGAAGTGGTCTCACTGATATTAACGACTGATAAATGTTATCGATTTGTACTCCCGAGTACTGGGGTTGCGTACCGAGTCCAAACCAACGAATCCGTGCCAAAATTTGAGTACAAAGAATCGAGTACGGGCCGAGTCCAACTAATTTTCGAGTACTGATAGTCGAGTACGGGCCGAGTACTTGAGTGTACTCGAGTTGTACTCGAGTACGATTACGAGTACTCCAACACTGGCAGTAACACACCCGGGTTCACGTTAATTGGCACCGTATAACGCTCTACCGACTTTTTCATCTATTTTGCTTGTGGTATCTTAACCATGTTACGGTTTGGTTTAATTCGATTGCGTGCAATTGGTCACACTCTGCGCAACAAGTTGAATTATTATCTGGGCAACTGGGCCCACCGTTTTCGTGAGTAGCATCAGTGTTTACCTTTTATCTACCTGAACAACCTTTTGTAATGTGATTTAAGGTGTTACGCTTGAGTTTTATCCTAAATGAACCCAGAAATGAAAACTATTGTCTTCTTGGTGTAATACCGCTACCGAGATTAACGAGCAATAAGACTACATTATGAAAGACATTTTATCCAATTCGTAACTTGGCTTTAATGTAATTAAACGGCTACAATATAATCATTAGGAGTTGTTATGCAGTCAATCGGAAGTCAAGTCATAGGTAGCAAAGGGATGAACAATGACAAACGAATGCTTTTGTCACTGCACAGTTATCAGCCCTTCGCGTCTCTTCACTTGATGACTTGTGATCATGCAAGAACTTGTAGGGACTCCTTACACCCACGTCACTATTGGCAACTTAAAATACTTAACTGAATATACACAGTGGATGGGTAATCGGCCATTATGGTAAATACAGGGTGAGTCAAAAAAGCGGAACCCAAACCCCAAAAGTATAAACAAATATGTAGCACCAAAAATAATAATGACTGGAAAGCCAATTTCATAAGCTACTTTTAAATGAAAAAAAATACTGAAATTGCTTAATCCGTTCAAAGGATATCACCATTTAAACGCAATAACCCTAAAACCTGTCTCGTCCAAAAATGCGATTTCAAGAATTGTCGTTACAATTGTCTTCAAACATCACCAGCGATAAAACCTCAGTTTAAAAGTTAAAAATATTCAACAAAGTCCTTTTGAAGGCCCGTCTTTCAAAAAAGTGGATTTTACAAATCATTGTTTGCCTAACCAGGGTTGTTCATAAAGATATTGTGTACTACACTTGTTGACAGTTGTTGAAACAAGTATTCTGTGTCATTTTCTTTGTTGTTCCAAACAGTCAAAACACACAATAAATTGCTTTTCTTGGGCGAGACAGGTTATAGGGTCGTAGCATTTAAATGGTGATATTCTTTGAATGGATTGATCAATTTTCATTTTTTCATCTAAAAGTAGCTTATGAAATTGGCTTTCAAGTCATTATTATTTTTGGTGCTACATATTTTTTAAATATGAAATATATTTTGGGGGGTTTGGGTTCCGCTTTTTTTGACTCACCCTGTATTTTTTTTTTACAATATCACAGTTTTACGTAATAACCGCTACATTTTGGCCTCTTTCGTCAAAAGAGGTTGATGTATCATAATAGAAAATAGAAGTTTAACACGTTACAGTATAAGTCGCTATTATAATAAATGATTTTGCGAATATGTGTTATATCATATTTTATGTAAACAGCCGCTACCATTTTTTGTATTATTTTTACATTGATTATAAAGTTTAAAACGTACACGCTAAAGTAAGTGCACTTCACTAAACAGCATTGGGTATAGTGCTAGTTACATTAATATTTCTATTTTACAGTGTAAATGAGGCCAACTATTGCCTACAAAATTATAGTTTGGAAAGTCTATTAACAAAGACAAAAACGCCTGAAACTATTATAAGCTTACGTGTAATTTGTAAATATTCAACATTGGCCACAACGCCTTCTAGTGTCGGGAAATGGCACAAACAATGTATTCGCTGGTACCCACCACCCTCAAGCAGGGCGATGGGGAGGGCTGGTCTCGTTCACAAAATGTTGTGTGGCAAGCACAGGCGTCGCAAAGCATTGTGGGGAGCTTACTGCCTCAACCAATGCACGTACATTCTGTGCGCACATTTTGTAAGTACGGTTCATTACACCTATCCACTGTTGCCCTTCTTGCGCCGCAAAAATAGGAAATTATGACACACAACACAGGAAAAATTCTCAGTGGTATATCTAGGGTTAAACTGTAAATGACATCTGGGGTACACAAAAAGGAAAATGATACATTTTTTTTTCAAGTCAACATTTCAAATGGGGGGGGGGGGGGGGAGGGGAGGGGGCAAGTAAATCTGTTTTGAGGCACGTGCCACCCTGCCCTCCCCCACCCCCTCGTAGACGCCACTGCGAATGTCGCACACTCTGCATCTGCGGCTACAGTACCGGTGTTGGGTTTGTGTATTTGCGTGGATCAGTCCTTGTAGGTATTGTAAGAAGACATCAGCGCAATATCCGGGGCCTGAACTGCTCTCTGGTTGTTGTTTTTCCTCCACCTAAAGCGAAGGAATGCATGAAAAAAATAGTTGTCATGAATTAAATATTGATCAACCACTGCTACTGCAGGTTGTTCCCAGCCCCCTTGACATTGTATGGGACATCTCTATAACGAAGTTGAATTAGTGTAATCATGCAGTGCTCAGTTTCAATATCGGTTTCTGTGGTGGAAAAAAGTAGCTCATTTTAAGTCTATGAACAGATCTGGCTGAACACGACTGAAATGCCCAATTGGAAGATGGAACCTTTGCTTGTAAAAGTGAGGCCGATATCAAGGAGCTGAGAAGAGACGTGCTTATCAAGAATAGGTTACCAGCAAAAATCTCATGTCATGTTAATGCTGTTGACTGGTACGCTGCCAAGGGCGGATCCAGAACACACGTTTTTGGGAGGAGGCCAAAAAAATTTGGGTCCCCCAAAAGTGGGTCCTTAAAATTACGGCGTGAGGTTCGGGGACCGCTGAAGGGCCCTAAACAAATTGGATTCTAAATGCTCTTGTGGTGCGATCTGAGGCAATTTCTGACCAATTTAACCATTTTTTTGGTGGTGAACGCAGTGCCTGCCTTTATTGCAACGTCACATTGGAAAAAATGGGTTCGTTTTGGAGCCTTGGCCCCCGTTGCCCCCCGGATCCACCCTTGTACGCTGCCAGTGTCAGCTAAAAGCATCACTCTCGTGCTCCGTCCCTCGTGCTGCCTTACTTTGCAACTCCTAACCGGCACATTCTCCTTCCCCTGTTTATATTTGTCACAGACAAAAAGGTTGAATTTAAACAAATTCTCTTTTCTTACGTTTCGTCCTTGTAGAATAATGTCACCTGGAGTGGATTTAGCCTGACGGTTTGCAAACAGCACAGACATATAGAAAGTGAGCTCACCTTCTTCTGATGAGAAGGAAAACAAGAAGCAGGATCACCACGAAGACAACTCCTCCGGCCGCTACTCCCTCTGCCGCTTTCCTCACCAGCGTGTCATAAGCTTCAAATACAATAAAAATACAGTAGTTTTGCTCAGTCCGCACTTAGAACCCCAATGTACAAATCAGCCACCGAAGTAAATACATTATTCGAACATCTTACTAAGTTGCATGTTTATGCAGATCATAATGAAAATGTATTCCGATTGATATCCTTCGTGAGATGCTGTTAAACGACCAATGACTCAAAAGTAACACTGGCCAATGTGATACATTTTGTTGGATTGAGTCACACTTAATGATCTCGTACCTCTGGGATCATCTGCCGGAGAACACTTCACTGGTTTACTGGACCAAGAGCCGTCTGATTGGCAGACGCGCTCCGCATCATGACGGTCGGTTCCCGTGACGACAAAGCCACCACTGCACGTGAAAGTGGCCACCTCGCCTGGTTGAAATGCGTGATCTTGCCCTTCGGCTATTGTCACGTGGTTCAATCTGGGTGGAGCCGAGCAGCCCTCGTCAACGACTGTTTAATGAAACAATACACGATTTGCATTTAAACTGAAAAGTAAAACAGAGAGACACGAGCTTCTAGATTAGTATATTCTTAGCCTGGAACGAACGAATAAAATAAATGAAATTGATATCAATATACTCATTTTCGATGGGGCCACAAATAACGCTGGCGACATGTGATACATTTTGTTAGATTGAGTCACATTCTGTTGTCTTACCTCTGGAAATAATGACTATCGTCATCAGTGGCAAACACGTTCCAGATGCAATGTTCTTTGAGTGCATATGAACTGAGCTATGTGTTAAAACATTATTTTATTATTATTTAGGCACTGTTGGCAGCCACGTTCAGTTCATACAATGTAAAGATTAGTTAGTCATTTGGGCGTAAACAAAAATTAGTTAGAACGAATACTTAAGCTTATTCAAGCAATAAATTGACTAATTATGTGCCCGTTCGACGAACCCGTCAGGCAGATTGACTCGTATTTGTTATCAGAAATGAGAGTGCAATGAAAAATTCCCAGTGGTTTTTCAGCTCGCCAGAGTAGTGTCATTATGACAAATAGCGCCCCCACACTATTCTGTCCCTGGGGAAATCGAAGTCACTATTTTGAAACTCTATATGTGGGTTCCAGACCAATAAATACACCGCCCTACACCTCAGTGATAATCACCCGCACTTTTCAATAATCAGGACAAATACTCACAACTATCCTCGATTAAGCTTACTTCATATTGGGCAACAGTGATTTTAGGGCCCAGTTCCATCCAAATTTCACAGAAATGCAAGTTTGCGCTCATGACCGCAAGCTTGCATTTCTGTGAAAGTTGGACGAACATTCTATTCTTCATGCACATGATTTCTTTACAAAACTCTGGTGGATTCAATACATTTCATATTTTCCCAGATTTGGCAAAAATGGAAAAGTGACGTTTGCATTCATTTCAACGACGGACCAGGGACTCGACAGAAATGCGCCAATTTTGTAGACCACTTACTTTTCGTTGCAGCGCGGCTGGTAGTCGTTGCAGTTGCGGTAGTAGTCGTTACAGTTGGTATGGTCACAGTAGCTCCAATACAAACAGAAAGATAAAAACATTTATAACATGTTTTTTTTTTGCTTATTTGAGAGGTGATATGTGATGAAGTGATTTATATAATGGAGGGACGCTATTTTTTTTGTGTTGTCGAAATATATAGCCAGCACAAAACCAACCACTTGGATCAATTTTTCGAAACTGGGATTTTTGGCTCATTGAAAAGTAACTTAAGTAAGATGCCACCATGATATTCCAATAATCGTGGGAATCGGACAGTTATAGGTTTTTTTTCCAGTTCCAGCATCGAATTTATCTATTCAATTTTAAAGTTGTCATTAAAGTTTCCCAACATTGCTTCTCTTTTGATAGTATGGAATGCATTTCATTCAGTGTTGGAGCAAAGGCTTTGACCCTCAAGGCCAAGGCCAAGGCCAAGGCTTTGATCCTCAAGGCCAAGGCCAAGGCTTTGACCCTCAAGCCTCGAGGCCAAGGCCAAGACTTAACCCTCAAGGCCAAGGCTTAACCCTCAAGGCCAAGGCCAAGGCCAAGGCCCTGTTTTATGAAATGACCACTGATATAGAACTAATTATAGTCACATGAGTGACACATCATCACACAAGGGCGGATCCAGAACACAATTTGGGGGGGGGGGGGCAAAGAAATGTTGGTCCCCCCAAAAAAGTGGGTCAAAAAATTATGGCTTGGGCTTCGGGCCCGCTTAAGGGCCCCGAAAAAAAAAATGGATTTGAGATACTCTGTGGTGCGATTTGAGGCGATTTCTGACCATTTTAACTGATGTTTTTTTGAGGAAAAGATGGTGGTGTACTCATTGCCTGCCTAAAAAAATGGTTTCGGGTGTTTTTTTTTTTTGGGGGGGGGGGGGGTATGGCCCCTTTTGGCCCCCCTGGATCCGCCCTTATCATTACAAATTGCTCGTTACGAAGAACAACATTTCTTTAATTGCAATCAACATGCTTGCATAGGCCTACACCGTTTTATGACTGCACTGTATCTATTAAAGTATAAGGTCAGGTCTTTAATATGGTTTAACTAAACAAAACAATGATTTACTTCTATATTGACACACAATTCTCCCAAGTGTAACAAAAGGGGGATCCAAGAAACTGATTTAGGAAATTAGGAAATTTTTATTTGCTGGCCCAACATGGTCAGAAATATCAGCATTAGCTAAAACAGATACATGCAAATCTTTAGCACTTATCAGGGAGACATATACAACCAATCAGATCTATTCCATAATTGTATGCAATTAAAGTGATCATCTCATTAGCCCCACAAGTGTACGGAATATTTTTGCAGCAAATCTACTACAATGGTAACAAAATGTGATGCTACAAAAGTGGAAGTGTGCCCAACACACAAATCTATAGGGTGCTTCCATCCTCCATGGTAATACGATTAAAATGGTAACAGCAAAATTTCGAACAGATTTATCCTGAAAATGTAAAAATCTATGGGCCTTGAAAAGCCTTGACTCAAAATTGCAAGGCCCTGAACCCTCAAGGCCAAGGCCAAGGCCAAGGCTTTTGCCCTCAAGCCTCGAGGCCAAGGCCAAGGCCCTAAAATCCAGCCTTAAGGCAGCCTTAAGGCCAAGGCCCAGCATCAAGGCACTACATCACTGATTTCATTATTTAATTTTGTTTAGGTTGAGCAAGGGCCAACCCAGGTTTTGATTTTGCCTTTAGTTTTGTACCTTAATTTGGCTGGGCCATTCCCAGAGGGGGGGGGGGGGGGGGGGGGGCATTCCCAGAGGGGGTGGCCGGGGGGGGGGGGGATTCAAACACCTGTTCCGACATGGGTACGGAAGCCCGTTAGGACCAGTACGTCTTTCTTTTTCACAGCGGTGCGTTTCTCTTTCACGCGCGGTGGTGCGTTTCTCTTTCATGGTAGATATAGTCTCTCTTTCATAATGCGAGTCTCTCTCGTCCATGGAAGTTAGCCTCTCTCTCAGAACGTGTGTCTCTCATTAACTTGCGGTCGCTAGATAAGGGAGTCGCGGCCGCGAGATAATTAACTCGCGGCCGCGGTTACTCACATCTAGAGAGAAATAAACCCCTGTAAAAAATGGACTTGCTCCCTTGAAAGAGAAAGGAATACGTTATAAAAGAGAGGCTATCTAGCATGAAATAGAGACAGGGGGAGACACGTTATGAAAGAGAAACGCACCGCCCCGAAAGAGAAAGACGTACCTATGCCTAAAAGGCTTCCGTACATATTCTGTGAATTGCACATATTCCGTGCATTAAATGCTTGCATCAGAGAGGCTGAGGACACTTGCTTGGCTTGGCGGGCGTCAAATCTTTTTTACCAAACGACATTCGTTTCCCATCTTCTGATTGATCCATTACCTGCATAATATCTAACACCTTGTTCTTCCCAACACAAATCCAAAATTGGCTTGCCATGAGAAATGTTCCTTTCGTGTTGTATAGAAATACTTGAAGTACATGTATGTGTGACCCTCCAGCATCAATTTTTGGAAAGAATATAGTTATCGAACAATTTATAAGAGTTTGCATTCCCATATTTCAAGCCTCGAGATTTTTGTATCGTAAAATTCGTCCTTACAGGTTTCCAAAGAAACTCCTCAGCTAAAATTAATTTACACTATGTCATCAATATTGTATTGATCAAAGACTGCATCTCAATGTCTGGCAACTTTTGACTGATTTTACACTGGATCGAGGGTCACATGACCTGTGGTTATTAATGTTTAACTTCATTCACCGCGCTCTTACCAAATGATCCATAGCTTCGAGCTGATAGAGAAAAACCTTTTCTGTTTAGACTACCATCAGATGTGAACCTCAGCCACATGGAAATATTGGTTGAAGGCGTATCAGGCGGGAGACTGCTCCCACTAAGACGGAGCACCCTAGTGGAGGAGTCGGTAAAGTTGCGGCCATTGCCAACCTCCAAATAATCAGAGAGGTACGTACGGAAAGTGTGGAAACTGAGGATGATTCTCTGGCCCTCTGCTGCTTGGATAAGCCACTGGATGTCCAGACTGTCCTGGTAGTTGCTTGGATAGGATGGCGAGGTTATGTTGATTGACTGGTTTGCCGCAAGATAGATCAGCTCTGTGGAAGAACATTACAGCAGATTGAATTGAGTGAGAAATGATGGCTTTATACAGGTAAGCCAATCAGCAAGCTCGTCCCCAGTGCTTACTTTATTTCCAACACGGTTTCCAATAGTAAACCCTGGATAGGAAACTTTATTCCTGTATCCTGATTGGATACCGCAATTGGCTAGTAATGGATTTTTATCGTGTACTTGGTGCTATTATTCACAACGTGCAGTACGTGTTTTCGCGATCATTCGTCCACACCTTCTCAAAAATAATAATTTCCTTTCTAATTTGCTCATATTAATATGAAATATGATACTGCATGTTGCCTCGATAAGATCGTAACAGTTTGATTTCAAAAATCGTGTTTTCGTAACTCACGCCGTGCTCGCGCTGCTACGAATTGACTCTGTTTTTACCCCAGACACCGCATACAAAAACAAACGCTAATGTGTAACGCATATCCAGGCACCAGACTGTTCCTCATTTGTATACGTGTGCAAAAATCTTGCACATGCAAATGATCCAATACCAGGGTGAGAGAGCTTATACTGAAGCACGAAATATCGATCCCAAATTCCTGTGTCTTTGGCAAAGGCTGGAGGTGAAATGAACTCGGCACCAAAGGTAGAGCTGATCAGCATCTTGACGTCTGGACTTAACACACTCTATAAGTTCCTCATTCTGACAAGAAGACGTGTGTGCTGGTCGATGGCCATGCACTCATCCAAGCTCTTGGAAAGCCTCAAGGATGTCAGACTTTGGCGACTATGCTGATGTGTTTGTACAAAGTGTGGCAAATCACTTTGGACTGCACACAATGAGAGTTGATGTGGTGTTTTGATCGGTACATTGGGGAAAGCTTGATAAAGGTAAAAAACCCGTTCAATGCGATTAGGCGAGAAAAGCCAATTCCGAAGCTCATTGATGGACACCGTGTGCCACTTCTACATGTTTGGAGGCAATTCATTGCATTAGATGAAAACAAGGCCAATCTTGCTAAGTTTCTGTCTAAGGCCATCATGGAAAAAGGAAAAGATTTACCATACATGCAGGTACGAGCTGGTAACAGGAGGCGGGTTCTCTGATAACAGAAACAAGGTTAACAAGAAGAGAGGACAACGAGCTTCGAGGAAACCATGAAAAAGCCTACACCAGAATAATACTTCATGTATGTGAGGCTGTCAAAGAAGGATATCAGAGACTGCTGGTTGTCCGTTCAAAGCGACTAGGCGAGAAAAGCCAATTCCGAAGCTCATTGATGGACGCCATGTGCCACTTACATGTTTGGAGGCAATTCATTGCATTAGATGAAAACAAGGCCAATCTTGCTAAGTTTCTGTCTGAGGCCATCATGGAAAAAAGGAAAAGATTTACCATACATGCAGGCACGAGCTGGTAACAGGAGGCGGGTTCTCTGATAACAGAAACAAGGTTAACAAGAAGAGAGGACAACGAGCTTCGAGGAAACCATGAAGAAGCCTACACCAGAATAATACTCCATGTATGTGGGGCTGTCAAAGAAGGATATCAGAGACTGCTGGTTGTCTGCAGAGACACAGATGTCATGTTACTTGTACCTCTGATTCACTTCCTATCAACCCAAGCTGAAGTATGGATGGTCGCTGGGACTGCTCAGAAGAGGAAATACTACCCAGTTAATGCCATATCTCAGAGACTTAAGCCTACACAACCTGTGAGGGATAATGTGCTTAGTTTTCATGCACTGACAGGCTGTGATATACAACCTCCTCCTTAAATTTACTGGCCATGGGGAAAAGTCGTGCTGGAAACTTGTCAAGAGAATTGGTCGTGATGGAGACCTTGCGCCTATCGAACAATTTGCATGTGACCTTTATAGCACTCCTGAGCTGTTAACCGTGCCAGGTTGCAACTTTTTGGGAAGGCTAAGAAGAGCTTTGAGGCACTGCTGCCAATAAGAGATGCCCTGGAACTCCACACTGTGCGTGCAAAATGCCAGGCAAAGATCTGGTTCCAGAAAGACCAGGAACACATCGATATATCTTCTCCTATTGATTCTTTAAGCTTGGAAGATGGAGTCAGGCTGCCTTAAAGCAGTTTGGACACGGTTACCTCCTATCCCAGATGCCTGTCTAGAGCTTGTTACTTGTGGTGCCAAATGAATCGAAGTTCACACAAGGGCGGATCCAGAACACAATTTTTGGGGTAAAATGTTTGGCCCCCCCCTAAAAAGTGGGTCAAAAAATTACGGCGTCGGGTTCGGGGCCCGCTTAAGGGCCCAACATTTTTTTTGGATTCTAGATCAGTGCTCTGTGGTGCGATCTGAGGCAATTTCTGACCACTTTAACCAATGTTTTTTGAGGAAGAGATGGTGGTGTACTTATTGCCTGCCTTTATTGCGATGTCACATTAAAAAAAATTGGTTTCGTTTGGGGGGGGGGGGGCATGGCCCCCTTTGCCCCCCCCCCCCGGATCCGCCCTTGAGTTCACAGCAGCCCGATGCACATGCTTCCGAAAGAATCTGAGGTGCACTCTTGCCTGTGGGTGTGATGCCACTAAATGTACATGTAACTGCTGCAACCCAGCTGGCCAAGAATGATGAACCAATACAATAATAAAACTGTATATGTACACAATCAAGTAAGATATATTCCCTATTTCTTCAAGTCTTACGTAATATATTATAATATATTATATATTGTAATATCTGTACAGTGAATCATCACAGTAATGACCGAAGTGCAAGGTATAATTTAAGAAAACAAGTACATAAATATATATATATATATATTGTGTGTGTATATTTCTATGTTGGGTGAAAATAGTACCTTTTTTCTTAAAATGTTATATATGTTATATATGGAGATGAAATATTTAATTTAACCTGTTAATTACAACTGTCTGGTATGCCTATTTATAGGATAAAGATATTTTCTGAACAATACTTACGCTAGTAAGTTCCAAAATCTTCCAAAATACAAAAGAAATACACTTTTTACCATATTTGACCTTTGACCCTCTAAATGACCTTTGGGGTCAAAATCCAGGGTGGCATCCACCTACATTTTCTTCCCCATCCTATGACTGATTGATCTAACATGGTTGCCTGCTATTACCCCAAAATGCCGTCTAAAGTATAATATACCGTTTTGGCTGGTCCACTACAATTCGTCACAGTTTTCACGAAGAGACAATTTTGGCAAAAATCAGTATATTTTCGAAATTCTTTTTTTGACCGAAATCGATTAAGTGTATTGCAGCGGACATCTTGGCGAATTTATTTTGTCAAAATCAGATGAAATCATTGAGATCATGAGAATCAATAAAGGGAAAATTTCACCCAAGTCGTATTTTCAGTTTTCACGAAGAGACAATTGTAGCAAAAATGCACGTTGTTCTATAGGGACAAAATAACGCGCGTGTGCGATTTTGAGTTTTCACGAAGAGACAATTTTCAAGCGCGCGCAAGCAAAACGACGCGTGCGGGCAAAACGAAGCGCGTGTGGGATTTTGAGTTTTCACGAAGAGCCAATTTGTGCGTGTTTGGATAGCGGAGAGTTTGAGTTTTCACGAAGAGACAATTGGATCATTGCCAATTTTCCCGGCAAAACCAATCGCCTGTGGATTTTGAGTTTTCACGAAGAGACAATTAACTATGAACGTTAATTGCTCCTCAATTAATTGGTCTATTGACTCGCATTTGGTACAATGTGTTAGTGTGAGATTTCAGCTTACTATCGGTATAAAAAAATAATCAACATGTCCTCTAAATATAGGCGAAATCATCAGTTTAAAAAGGGTTCAACTTTAAAGTCGATTTTCTCAAAACTATGTTTCAACGCCCCGTAGCCAAAATTGTCTCTTCGTGAAAACTCTGACGAATTGATGCATGATAGCTTTGAGCTGATAGAGAAAAGCCTCTTCCACTGCCAATAGCACCAGATGTGAACCGTAGCCACATGGCATTGCCGGTTGAGAGTGTAACAGGCGGGAGACGGCTCCCACTCCTACGGAACACCGTAGTGGAGGAGACAGTAGAGTTTCGTCCAATGCCAACCTCCAAATAATCATAGTACAGCGTGTCGAAATCGTGGAATCTGAGGATGATTTTCTGGTCATCCGCTACTTGGATAAGCCACTGGATGTCCAGATTGTTCTCGTAGTGCCGTGGATAGGATGGCGAGGTAATATATTGACTGGTTGCATTTGAGCTTCCATTCATCGAGTTTAGTGATAGTCCTTACCTGCTTCGCACCTCGTTCCTGCAAACCCATCTAGACATTCACAGTTAAAGCCAGATCTCCTCACTGGTTGACACGTCCCGCTGTTCAGACAAGAGTTCAATACACAACCTACAGTTGTAACAAGAGGAAAACAACCACAGCAGCTTATGTGTTTTTAAGTAATAGACACCTGTAACATCAAGCAATATCTTTCGTGTTGTGCAGAAATATTTGACATGTAATTGACCCTCCAGCACAAAACCAGTCACTTGGAATCGATTTTTGGAAACTGGAATTCGGGCTCATTGAGAAGAACATCGAGTAAATTTCCGATGATATACAATAATCATAGGACCGTTATTTAAGCATTTTCGGTTCACAAACTGCAAACATAGATTTTTTTTCTTTTCAAAGTTTCCAAAATAAGCTTTTCGGTTACGCGCCTCTTTGTAAATCAATACAAATGAAATATGGAATCAACATTTATCAATTTTCTTAAGTTTATTTACACCATTTCATCAATATTATATTAATCATACACTTCATTTCAAAATGTGGCCTTGCAACTTTTAACTGGTTTTGCACAGGAAGGTCAGGTGTGGTTCTAAATGTTTAACCTCATTCACCGCGATCTTACCAATCATCGGTCCAACGCTTCGAGCTGATAGAGAAAAATTTGTACCGAACAAATCACCAAAAGATATGAACCTTAGCCACATGACATTGCCAGTTGAGGGCGTATCAGACGGGAAACTCCTTCCAGGCAAAAGGATGATCATTGTAGAGGAGTTTGTCCAATCGATACCATCCCCGGCAATCAGATGGCCGCAACAACTCTCCGTATTGAATACGTGGAAACTGAGGATGATTCTCTGGTCCTCCGCTGTTTGGATAACCCACTGGATGTCGAGTATGTCCGGGTAGTTGCTTGGATAGGATGGCGAGGTAATGTTGATTGACTGGTTTGCTGCAAGATATATCAGCTATGTGGAAGAACATTACAGCAGATTGAATTGAGTGAGAAATGATGGATTGATACAGGTAAGCCAATCAATTGATTTTACGTTTCATTATTTTGTAATTCCATTCATCGAGTTTATAATCCTTACCTGCTTCGCACCTCGTTCCTGCAAACCCATCTAGACATTCACAGTTAAAGCCAGACCTCCCCACTGGTTGACACGTCCCGCGGTTCAAACAAGAGTTCAATATGCAACCTAAAGTTGCAACCAGAGAAAAATAAACTATTAATGTGTATTCAGGTAATTAGAATACCGCTAAGTGAAGTATTTTTCGTGTTGTTCACAACCAGTCACTTGGATGAGTTTTTGGAAATGGGACTTTAGTCTCAAGGGAAATGACAGTGAGTAAGTTTTCAATGATATAGAAAATGGGAATCGGACAGATTATGTACTTTTTTTACCAAAATCAAGGCAACTTTATATAAACAAACTTGTTGATCAAGTTTCCCAAATAACTGTTCAGCTTCGAACGTTTTTATAAAGCAATCAAAATGAAATTTGGAATATACATTTGTATCAACTTTGTCCTTTTATTTTCACTGTTTCATAAGACTTTATTTTCCGCTTAGTTGCAATGAGAGAAAAGTAAACTAATTTGCAATTTGTAATGTGTTTTCAGGGAATTACGACACCGGTAACAAGAAAAGCTATCTTTCGTGTTATGTGGAAATATTTGAAGTACATGTACGTGTGACGCTACAACATCAATTTTGGAAATGGGATTTGGGGCTTATTGGAAAGGACATTGAGTAAGCTTCCACTGATTACTATGGTTATCGGACAATTTATAATTATTTAAATTCTTGAATTTCAGTCCTCGATTTTATTTTACATCTACAAATTGTATAAATTGTTCATTTGTATAAAGCAGTCAAAAGGACATTTGAAATTCGCATATTCCAATTTTCTGATATTTATTTACAATTAAGTCATCCAAATTGTATATATCATGGACCACATCTCAATATGATGTAGCTTAGCACTTTTGACTAATTTTGCACTGGAAGGTCAAATGTGGTTATCAATGTTTAACTTCATTCACCGCGCTCTTACCAATTGCTCCAATGCTTCGAGCTGATAGAGAAAAGCCTTTGTTGTTTTCATAACCATCAGTTGTGAACGTTAGCCACATGGCATTGCCGGTTGAAAGCGTATCAGGCGGGAGAACGTTCCCACTTTTACGGAAGACCGTAGTGGAGGAGTCGGTAGAGGCGAGGCCATTGCCAACCCCCACATTATCATTATACCGCGTGTTGAAAGCGTAGAAACTGAGGATGATGCTAAAGTCCTCCGCTGTTTGGATAACCCATTCGATGTCCAGATTGTTCTGGTAGTTGCTTGGATAGGATGGCGAGGTAATGTTGATTGACTGGTTTGCCGCAAGATTGATCAGCTCTGTGGAAGAACATTACAGCACATTACAGCAAATTCGTCGTTAACGTTTCTAAACTAAGCTGCTCTGTAATTACGCGCATTAATTTTCTGTACATCAATCAAAGTAAAATTTGGAATATACATTTATCGAATTTCTTAAATCTATTAACACAATTTGATCAATATTCTCATAAATAACATCTCAATGTGTGGCCTTCCGACTTCTGACTGGTTTTGCACTGGAGGGTCACACATGGTTGTATAATGTTTAACTTCGTTCACCGCGCTCTTACCAACTGATCCATAGCTTCGAGCTGATAGAGAAAAACCACTTCTGGTGCCACCTTCATCAGATGTGAACCTAAGCCACATGGCATTGCCGGCTGAGAGCGTATCAGGCCGGAGACTGTTCCCACTCGACATGAAGATCCTTTTAAAGTAGTTCGCAGAATCCATACCGTCCCCGACACTCAGATGGTCGCAACAACTCTCCGTGCTGAAAGCTTTGAAACTGAGGAGGATTCTAAAGTCCTCCGCTGTTTGGATAACCCACTGGATGTCCAGATTGTTCGGGTAGTAGTTTGGATAGGATGGCGAGGTAATGTTGATTGACTGGTTTGCCGCAAGATTGATCAGCTCTGTGGTAGAACATTACAGCATATTGAATTGAGTGTGAAATGATGGCTTTATACTGGTAAGCCAATCAGTAGATTTCACGTTGCATTTGAAATTCCATAAATCGAGTTTAGTGATAGTCCTTACCTGTTTCACATCTCGTGCCTTCAAACCCATCTAGACATTCACAGTTGAAGCCAGACCTCCCCACTGGTTGACACGTCCCGCTGTTCAGACAAGAGTTAAATACACAACCTACAGTTGTAACAAGAAAATAAACCAAAGCAACTAATGTGTTTTCAGATGAAAGACACCAGTAACATCAAGCAATATCTTTCGTGTTGTGAATGTGACCCTTCGGGACAGAACCAGTCACTTTGATCAATTTTTGGAAGTGCGATTTTTTTGCTCACCGAAAAGGACACTGTGTAAGTTTCCAATGGTATAGAAATTGGGAATCGGACAGTTATAATTATTTTCAGTTCCAAAATTTCAGTAATTACAGCTCCGTAAGTACGCGCATTAATTTTCTGTACAATAATCAACGTAAAATTTGAAATATACATTTATCGAATTTCTTAAATCAATTAACACAATTTGATCAATATTCTCATAAATAACATCTCAATGTGTGGCCTTCCGACTTCTGACTGGTTTTGCACAGGAGGGTCACACATGGTCATGGGCGTCGCCAGGATTTTTTCTAGAGGGGGGCAAAAATGTTTTTTTTGCCAAAAAATGCTTGTATTTCTCAACACATTCTCGATTTATCAGTTTTAGAGGGGGGCAGGGACATTTTGTCCCCCCCCAACTCATTAAATCAAGTGCCCCCCCTTGCCCCCCCCCCCCTCGCGACGCCCATGCACATGGTTATATAATGTTTAACTTCGTTCACCGCGCTCTTACCAACTGATCCATAGCTTCGAGCTGATAGAGAAAAACCACTTCTGGTGTCACCTCCATCAGATGTGAACCTAAGCCACATGGCATTGCCGGCTGAGAGCGTATCAGGCGGGAGACTGCTCCCACTCGACCTGAAGATCCTTGTAGAGTAGTTTGCAGAATCCATACCGTCCCCGACACTCAGATGGTCGCAACAACTCTCCGTGCTGAAAGCTTTGAAACTGAGGAGGATTCTAAAGTTCTCCGCTGTTTGGATAACCCACTGGCTGTCCTGATTGTTCTGGTAGTTGCTTGGATAGGATGGCGAGGATATGATGGCTGAATCGTTTGCCGCGAGTTTGATGAGGTTCGGCTCTGTGGTAGAATACACAAAATGATTTATGGTAAGCAATGGTGGAATTATTTTGATATTGCCAATCAATTCTAATGCTGTTGCACTCAAAATTATATGATCAAGTTAAATGATGCTATAAGCATTACACGTAGCTTCACATCTTGTGCCTACAAACCCAGCAGGACATGCACAGTTGAAGCACCTTTCCTGAAGTTTCAACCATTAATTTGGGTTTATGTTATTTTATCTATTTTTTCTTCTCAATCTTATATCTTTTTGGTTAGATGCTCTGACATATTTACTGTTTGCCTTTCAAACACCAATGATAAATCTGTGATTTGTTAAGGGTCCCTTAAATGAGTTTCACTGCAAAACTTGGTGTTTTGTAGATACCCTAATTGATACCGACATTGTAGCTCGAGACACAATTGAAGCTAGTCCAACAGTCCAGCGGCTCACAGCCAATTTTGGGCGCGAGATATAGTGACACGCCGGATTAAAACACCTTTTATAGCCTTGACCAATGCTATCTACTTTTTCCCTGAACGAGTGGACGTCCAGCTTATAGGAACATCTTTTGTCCGACGTGACGATAATTTTCAATTTTGACCCCTGTGTGACCCTGGTTTGGCCTTAGTTGACCCCTACAAAGAAACAAAGGGGTGGGTATGAAAAGAACAAAACGGTTTTTTGCTTTGTATATACGTTGATGAATTTTAAAAGGGGGTTTGACTTCCGCCAAGAAGGAGACTACGAAACAAATAAACCAGCTTTCCCCACTGTCTGTACGTATATCTCGGGATGACCTTTTTGCAGGAAGCTGTCACTTTGTGTAAAGACAGCGTCGGTATGTGCAGGCAAGCAAGGGGATCGTCAGTGTTGTAGTCGAGTACTTTTTTCCGAGTACCGAGTACTGCCGAGAGCGAGTACGAGTACGCTAAAAAAAAAGTACTCGTTACTTTACAACACTGGTGATCGCTGAGGCTAGTGTGCACGGCGATGTGCCGTGACAATAGGCCTTAAACCTAGAAGGGCCGTGGTGGGACTTTTTCCGCGATACCCTTAATAATAATAATAATAATCGGCATTTAAGAACGCTCTTTTTAGTACACTAAATCACAGCGCTTACAGTATTATTATTATCCCTGATCATTGGACCAATTCAACATTCCAAATACCATCTCAGCTCCCTGGGGAGTATACAGCTCGATGCTGCCTGTTAGGCGCAAGCAAGCTAAATCAATCACATAACCATCTCTGCCCTCACAGGTACCCATTTACCCCTGGGTGGAGAGAAGCAATGAGTGACAAAGTGCCTTGCTCAAGGGCACACGCACCATGACCCCGCCAGGACTCGAACCCACAACCTGCAGCTTGAACCCACATACCCTTGCAAACCAAATGGTCCCGACCCGAGCTTTCCTAACTTTTTAGCCTGGAGTCTTGCACATCTTTTGATACCAAAAATATAAAATTCCGACCATGGGTTGCTGCACAGCGAATTTATTTCTGCGCTGCGCGCCGTGAAAACTGAGGTTTCCCATATTATGTAGTGTACCCAAAGCAGAATTACCATTGGTGCATATGGATAATTTAAATCAAAATTAGCCATAATTTCAAAACCCTTCAACCTATAGTCATGACAATTCTTGGGTATGTTCATATTAATTTGTTCTATGCATGCACCAAGTTTCATAACTGTTCGTCACTCAATGGCCGAGACGCCCCCCCCAGCTGTTAGATGGTCAAAATAACCAGGCCACTTTAGACAAATACGGGAACCGGACAAATCAACCTAAAATTACTGAACTGTATGGTAGCGGCCTCACACTGAGTCTCGTTCGGAGAAGAAGTAGACAGCCTTGGTAAGGGTTGTAGTTTAAAAATACATGGTCCAAAGTACACCTAAAATCTTGTTGGATGGAATTTACGTACATTCGAACAAGTTGTTCATACGGGTGATCGTGCACACGTACACACAACATCGCTACAACGAACAGGGTCGGTCGCATATCAATAGGGGTTCTTACAAAAAATAGTCTGCGGAACACAATAACTAACAAGTGGTTCGCCGAATCGCGTATGTCGCCCTTTTTTTCGGCGGGTTGATCTCTATATTTTTTTGTGTTCTTAAAAAAAAGGCGAAGTTAATTGTTTGTATTTTTAAACAAGACCTGAAATGACTACTAGATGACCTTTGACCTCCAATTGCGGAAGAGTCGTAATGAACCCCCACTCAAGAATCACTCCATCCAAGTTACCCTCAAATCCATCAAATTCTGTACACAAGGAAATGTTTGAAGCGTATTTCAACAAGGACCCCTAATGACCCCTATATGACCTTTGACCTCAGCAATCCGATGCAGAATTGTGTCTTCCCACCCAAGGGTCACGGCATCAAAGTTTCATAAAAATCCATGTAAGTTAATTGTAGAAGTTACACATGCTTTTGTTTTCAAAACTGAAACAATAGGGTAAGCTGTCTCCCAAAACCCATTAAGGGGACACAATAGAATCCGCACAAAGAAAACTGAATACTTCACATCAGCCATAGAGAAAAAGCAACACATCCATTTTTATGAAAAAAAAAGGAAAGGGGTTTTTAAAAGATTAAAATGAGGATCGTGATGACCAGCAGTTGAGTGTATGATTAACCCGAGTTGCTTCGGTGAGGTAATCGAGCGCACCCCCATAGATCAATGTTTGCTCAACTAAACTGGGTTCCATTTTCTGAAAGAGTTAAGTGTAAAATGTCCATTTTGGTTTTTAAATGTCTAAAAAAAATTATTCCTTAATACATAACGAATCTTTTCACACCATTTACACAATTCGTGAAACAAGACAATCAACTAACAAGGCATCGGAAGTTTTCTTAGCAAAAAAGGAACGCTATGCCAAAAGTTTCGCAGTGAGTGGTGCGAATATTATGCAATAATGTGCACGAACTACTCAAAACTATAGGTTCCTTAAGTACATTTAAATTAGAACTACGCAAAGCCATAAGTGAGTGATATTTAGTTCAAAATACGCTGATCTACGGAGTTATATAGGCGTTTTTTGTTTTCGAAAGGGTTTTTGTGGGGTTTTCGCCCATCCCGTGATCAGTAATTTATGCTTTATATAGATGAATGTCTAAAATATGTACAGTGTATTTAGCTTGATTTTAATATTTCTGAGATACATGTACTTGTATTTGTTGTTATTAATGTTCGTCGTATGTTTCACCAATTTACTTTTCCTCGTGAATTTAACTTTACTTAACCTTATTTAATAATTTGTTATGCATGCAGGCTCCAATGGAAACCAGTTTGTAACTGTTTGGGCACACCCAGGGTAAAGAAATGGAATAAATAAATAAATGTAGTGAGACGTCTTTTACGAGGCACCGTACAATTGGTGCACAGCCCAGAAAAATGTATATAAACGCCTGCACTTAGTGCGTGAACGCGCGAATATCAGCCCTTTTCTGCATGCACACCAAAGTGTGAGTATCGTGTGCACAGATTTGTGCTTAAAATCCAACATTTAGTTTCAAATGCACAAAATTGGTATTTTCTTTACATTCTAATGTCATAATGCAAATTCTCTGCTACAGCTGGGCTAGGTTTTAGTGTATTTCATGTTGACAAAAGGAGTGATTTCGGGGTTGATTAGTCATCGTAATCTCAAAGTTTTAATCACCGTGTGTCACATGTTGATTTATTACAATGCGACTGTTTCATGTCAGGTGCAATTTAGAGGCCTAGTTCACAACACAGCCGTACACTGGCCAGGCGTTCAGGGAACCGCGGCAACTTTAGAAATACACACTTTGTGATTATAATTTATCATAGGCAACTTTATTACAATTTATAGAGCTGGAAATTGAATCTTATATGCTCTTTGTAACACTTGTTTTGTGAGTTTAGATTGAGACTCAGATCCAGAACTATTGTAATTGATTTTGTAAACGAATAATCTGTAACAAGTTCATGAGACCAAGCATAATTTGCTTTCTGTTTGATTCTTTCTGTTTATCTTGGCGTCCTTAAATCTAATCATGTGAGCGGACCTCCTTAATGCATGCGTACCGGCCGCTACATAAATAAATGGTCAATGCTGATTGTTCGACGCTGACTTTCCGGTACCCGGACGTAGGCCAGATCACGTGATGGGGGGTATGAGCCCTATCGTCTGAAATGCATAAACAAATGGGGGTGATAAGAATATACAATCCCGAACAAAAACAAACATTACAACTTACCGCCATTTGCTAGCATTATTGACGGCAGAAGCAGCATAAGTCCAGTAAGAACCCCAAACGCCTTGCTTGGGAAACGTAGCATTGTGGATGAGGTTTCCAGCAAATAATGGAATGGACCAGTAGCCTACCTGTAACACTTATTACGTGGACGCGATGAAATAACAGGCTGAAACAAATAGAAGCGCACGATTTTATTTTGTAGTAAGGGCCAATTTTCAGTTCCATTGCAGCCCCATATCAGTCTTTCATTTTTCACATAGCTTCGATTCACTTTTGCCATAAAATAGGCTTGTACAAAGGCGGAGTCCGGCCGCGAATCTTGTTGTTTCCGATTTAAATTGGACCATCATATACAGGCATGTCTTATGCCTTGTTCTCCACAACACAAACCCAAGACAGGCTTTACGTCGTGTGGGAAATGTTCCTTCCTCACTTTAGTTATGTGAGGGTAGGCGACGCCAGGCGGCAGCGTCCCTGGGTTTGAAGAACTATGACGATCCTTCGGATTGGAGGGCGTGTGCCCTCACGGCAAGAGGACTCCCAACACAAGAAATTAATTCAGGTCTTGGTTTATTAAAATCCTTCATGTATAAAATCCTTGGTGTATAAAAACTCTGGTGTACTATCAAATCCCTCGTGTATCAAATCCCTTCAAATTCCTGAAATATGACAACATAAATAAATATTTGATAGAAAGGTTAATCATACAATTTCTACGACATTAAAGCCCGAGTCCATCATTTGCAGCTATCCAAAAAAGTAACTGGCGTAAGTATTGTTGAAAAACATACTGGTTGAAAGATAGTAAGGGAACTAAACTCCCTGTGAAATTATCCTTTCTGGCAAGCTCTCATTTTGAAGAAATCAACGAAAGAAGGCATTTCCGAGGGTGCTTCTTATGATGCACCGTAGGAAAATTTATATTAGTTGTTCGTTTTGTTATTCGGCGCAGCGCGCACAAGCATTGGAACGACGCACAGGCGCGCGCGGTTGCTATAATTCGTCGGATCAGTGCGCGACTTCGCGTAAAACTGCAATTCAAAACAATTCGAAACATGATTTAGCAACTTTTGATTCTAAATTGAGATTCTAGAATGCTGTTTTTCTCGGAATATGAAGCTGAAGCTGAGCTGAAACTTCATCAAGTAAGTTGTTCAGTATCCTTCATTAGATTTTGAACACTTTTGTTGATTCAAACGAACAAATTGCACTAATTACAAATGATGGACTATAGCTTTACACAATTAAATCTCTATAACATAAGAGTAAATAAACACAATCAAAATAAAACCTTGATTTATTCAGCCAACTTTTGTGGGTTTATAATAAAGGATTATAAGCATGTGCCATCACCTTGTGCAATGTACCTAGCATACATGAAAGTAATGAAAATATAGTTTACATTTATAAACAAACTTCCATTTAAAATCATGTTTCATAGCGCTCAGCTTAAAATAGAAAATAATACATGTACCGTGCGCGGTTGTCATGGTATGACCCCAAAGGTCACCAAAACTTTCCACACGTACAGCGCGCACGTATGAAAAGCAACGCTCCACAGAATACAAGTACAAATTGAATACATGTACAAAATCTACGTGTAAAAGTTGTCACACGCGGGTTCTGTGAATCAAAGTTTAGGTAACAAAAGTTATCCAAATTCAATGCAAATTGGTCTAATCCAAGATTAATCTCCTGTTTCAGATACATCTGTGATTCTTTACGATACCATCTGTTCATTCATTACACCCAAATCATGATTTAAAAGCAACATTAAAACGGGATATTTACCGGATCGTTTCTGGTTATCCTGCACTTGTTTCATGCAGAGTGCATAAGAGAACTGCACTTTCCAAAAAGGGCGCCCTCTTGGGCTCAGAGGTTGACACTTAAAGTGGGATTCTCACAACTTCCCTGCTTTGAATCCACACGTCCCGGGTGGATATTATCAATGTTCCCAAATTCCAGGTGAAAATGTGCATTAACATCCGAGCAAATAATCATACATATACATAGTTACTTTAAGTTACTTCAAATTACTGATATCAATTGTACTACGAATATGGCCCTGAAGCAAAACGTTGATCATTATCTCTGTATAATCCGTGTTGATATTGTAAGACCGAAATTTAGACTGTCCCTGTGAGCACATACTACCATTCTCACAACAGGTGTTCTACATTACACCCCAAGGTCTTCAGGTCACTCTTTTCCAAGCAATACACCCACAGCATACCAAGACTGTGATTTAACCCTTGTACAGGGGAAAGTGACCTCATAAGGGTACTCCCCCAGACTGACCATTACGTCTGTCTATGGTCAGTCTACCTTTACTCAGAAATGATGTCATATAAGTTATGTTTTCCTTATATGACATCATCTCCTTTTTTTCACTCCAAGTGGTCCCTCTGAAACTGTATAAAATGTCCACATTTTCCCACTTTCATTGACTCAGAGTTCTTTTTTTCTCCCTGGGAAACTAGAGGCATATCCATAAATAGCTGATTCAGCCCGATGCTCTGGCCAGTCTTCATCTACAAAACTCTTCAGAACCTCTGTCTTCTGTCTCCAACTTCCGTATTCTAGTACCCAGCCATACCCATAAGCTGATGCAGCCGTATGGTTATAGTTCTGTACAAACACAATATACCGGTAGAATATTGGGTTCTTGAAAATAAACCAGTTTTCCATATAACTGAACCCATAGTCATTACCAGTGTGTCTTTGTATAGTCTTCGTAGTCATCTGTTCATCTTCCACAGCTACCCTATCAAACCCTGTCAAACAAACCAAAGACTATAGCCAAATTTATATGTTACACTGGTGGCAGCGGTGGTGGCAGCGAGTGTTTACCCACACATGCCGTTGAAGTGGCACCTCTTCTAGTTCTACATCTCATCTGTAACTAACTTTGTCGCCTGTTCCTGCTGTTCCTGCTCCTATTTCTACCTGTTCCAGTCATCCTGTTTGTTCCCGTTTTTTTAACGGCTCGCCAAAGTCCCCCTTACTGCACTTCCAGAGACGTCTCCTCGTGGCTGATTGGACCGGTTTTAGCCTCTCTCCCCTGTTCCTGTTGCCGCTACTGCAAGCCATCTCTCCGTGTCTCGACCTCCTGTGTCTTCTCTGCCTAACTGTTCCTGTCTTCGAACTGTTCCTCTCTTCGAACTGTTCCTGTTTTCTCACCTAGCTGTGTTCCTGTTCCTGTTCCTGTCACGCGTCCTCCGTTCTTCTCACGCGTCTTCTGTGTCCAACCAGTTCATCCAGTCCTGTATGCCAATCATCCTTGTGGAGTGCATCACCGACTTACCAACGCTGACAGTGCCCAGCTGCACAATTAATTCTTGCAAGTTCTTTTGTTTTTGCATATTTTTGTACCATTTTCCTTGTTTTATATACCATTTTCAATTTTCTGTGTTGATTTTACATATTTTGTGCACATTGCCTATGTTAGCCAATATCATTGCCATTGTTTTTATTGTAGCTTAAGCTTCATTGAAGGTTCGTTATTGAGTGGTCGGGCACAACCCGACCACTCTTTGGATCTGTTACGATTAATCTTTCTTTCTTTCTTTCTTTTTTTTTCCGGACAATACTTCTCCGCGGGTTTTCTCTTAAACGGTATATGGTATGAACTTGTAACTTTCAATATATATCGACCCTCATCCGAAGTGGTGCATATTACTCTGACGTCACGATTACGTCATCGGGTGTCAAATTACACGCGATTTTAGAGGAAAAAAGGGCCAAATACTTTCATCTATAACTCTTAAACAAAATGATCAAATATGTTCCAACTTTGTAATCAGATAGACCATTAGGCGATCAACACTTTTTGTCGTGTACGTGAACTCGCTTGACCTTTACTTCCGGGTCCACCGGAAGGTCAAAGTTACGTGAATTGAAAATGAAGACTTTAGCCTGAAATCAAAACAAAGCACAATTTCTTCCACACGGTTTACGGTATGATCATAAAACCTACTGTGAACTTGTACCATGTTACGAAGATAGTATAACTGTTGTTACGTCATCATGACGTCATCAGGTATCAAATTACAAGCGATTTGATTGCACGATTTGACAAAATACTTTGACCTATATCTCTTGAACTAAATAGGGTATCGTGTTCGTTTTTTCGTGAGGTTGTAGACGGTGCCTTGAGCAACATTTATTATTCCCGGGCACAAAACTGCTTGACCTTTACTTCCGGTGTTACCGAAAGTGCAATAGAAACTGAATCTAACTCTAAAACGGAAGCATTTCCGTACAGACAAATACATTATGGAAGTATTAAGTGAGGAATGCCAATCACAAAAACATTATTTTGACGTCATCCACGAAAGGGCGCCCTCCAGCGGTACATGGAAAACAGTTTAATCTTTTAAAATGTTAAAACCCTCAATCAAATTTTTATGATATAATTGCCCCTATATATCCCGTGAGCAACCACAAATGAATTTGCAAGGTTTCATAATCATGACGTCATCAGACCGGAAGTTACTGTAGGGAGAATTCAACAATGACCATTTTATGTGTTAAGTTAAATCCATCATTTGATCCCTGTCTCATGACTTTGTTTTTTGCCCCCCCCCCAAAAAAAATGACATCTGTTACACTTTATATTGACCTTTTGCTTCCAAATACTGTGACGTCATCAAACTGGAAGTTAGCTGTTATTATTACATACACTTAATTTCCATATTTCCATGCGTTATTTTTACTTAATGATTAACAAGTGTCCTCCCTTCCCTGTTTTGACTGATGACGCCATCAAACCGGAAATAACTTGTACTCAAACTGTTTACTGAAATTTATCACACCTTAAAAGACGCATTATTTTTGTAAAAAATAATTGGTACTGGAAATGTTGAAGTTCTTGGTCCTTTTTTTCTGACATAAACATATTCATAACTTAATTGGACAATATCTAATGAAATGGTTGTCTACCCGACCACTCTGCGTTTGTAACAACAAACGCGAACCTCTAGTTTTATGTTTATTATCTCTACACTGCGTTTTATTGTACTGTACCACTTGCCCTCACCATGTCTCCCACTCCCACGAGTAGTAGCTCCACCTCCCGCTTTCATTACTATCCATGTTCCCTCCACCATCACTCCCTGAACCTCCAGATCCGCCACAATAAACTTGTATAATTGGTATTGTTCATGAATCTAGCACATTTTTACAAACAGAATTAGACTGTATATCATTTTTAGACCATTGGATAAATAGTAGGTCGTGTACTTCCCCCCACACCTGGCTAGGCCCCGCCCACTCCCCCTGTGCCACCGAATTTTGAACTTGTATGTTGCATAACGAAACAAATGTAAATGTGCAAGTGAACACTTTAGAAATAACATAGAATTCCTTTTCACAGCCTCCCCTTCCCCCACCCCGGGCGCTTTGCTTGGGGTCGAGGGTGGGGTGTGACCACCCACCAATAACTTGGCATTGTGTTTACAAGCCGCAATGAATATTAATGGCCATATCCATTGTCCTCTGATTGAAGTGCACCATCATTCCAATGATGTCCAGTCCTCCCCTCCCAGCAAGGCCCCGCCCCTTCCCTTGTCACCAAATTCAGATTTTGATTTCTGCATGTATTTGCCTAAATTAATATTGTAAATAGATGTCAATTTGCCAGTGAAGCTTTCATAATCTACACCAACAGGCGTACCCGTCTCACAGCCAACCCCCTGCTATCCCTCTTCCTACTCCAGTGCTCATTTTGAGCAACTACCCCTCCCCTCCCAAAGAATTGTACAGAATATGTATTATTGTTAAGGTTAGATATTGCCTTGTGGAAAGTCCACATATTTACATACCCTATGTAGGTTTCGCTATTTTTCTGTCAACGTGGGAGTGGTTTGGAATATCTGGAAAGCGCAGGGGGGGGGGGGGTGTAATATGGATACATGTACATCATGTCCTCCTTAAGGTGTATCTAACCAAAATTAGGCAGCCAGCCAAACTCCTATCAAAGAACGACGAGGGAGTCAGGAAGTAGCGTCCAAGCTCCAAGTTTAATCGTCCGTGAAAAAGGAGTGAAACTGTGTAACAAGAAGTAGAAAAAATGCACTAAGTAATGTGGCTTATGGGCTATGAATGCTTAAATACACAGTTTAAAAGTCGACTAAACACCACATAATCTTAAATCTCAAAACATGCAATAATTAAGAAAAAGAGTGGATATAAATGTCAATGAGTGTATCTGTCCTTTGAATAAAAGATAATACCCAAAAATAACAGCACGCGTAAAGCGCGAAATAAACCTAAGCGGATTTTCTATAAAACAGAAAGGTACATGTAAAAGACGCTATGTTATTAACCAGTTACGATATGGCCGAGCGACATAGACGAATTTGTTTACATAAAATCCGAGTCCAAAAACAGCCCTAAATACCTCTAATTATAACTACAAAATGCAAAAGGAAATGGCATACACTTACAGACAATGCTTTTACAGGTGACTACAGGGATGGCAGTTGATCGGGTGTCAATAAATGAGTTGCAAAATGCGGGAAACTTGCATAAATTTGTCATTAACGTTTTCATGAACATGTGAGAAAAACTGTCAATACGAAAAGCTCAATAGAGGGCGCTGTTTAAGAAAACTGGACAGACGGTCCAGAACACTCCCCGCTTGACGTCTTTAAGATGTCACTACTACAGGAACATATTTACAAAGTTCAGTCCTCTTTGGGTAGCAGCAGTACGACTTCTGCGATGGGTCTCACGTACTTCTTGGTGGTGCCTTGCGCGGTGACCTTCACTTCCACGGTGCGGACCTTCCCATCGTCTCCTGCGAAGGTGGAAGTAACTAGCGCCATGGGCCACTCGTTGCGGGCAACTTGCTTGTCTTTCAAGAGTACCAGGTCTCCCTCTTGAAGGTTGCGACGAGTTTCCGTCCACTTTCGCCGACTCTGTAAGGTGGGGAGGTACTCGTGGCTCCAGCGCGGGACCAGAACTTAATTGCTTGCGAGACTCTGCACTTGTCTCCACTGGCTCTTGAACAGGTCCTTGTCAGTGAAGTCTCCAGGAGGAGGAGGTGCGCACCAACCTTCTGGTTAAGTAGCTTGGCAGGTGTCAGCTAGATGAACGGTGAGTCGGGATCGGTAGAGACTGGAACCAGCGGTCTGGCATTGATGATTGCTGTAACTTCGGCTAAGAATGTGCACAGGACTTCATGGGTCAGGCAAGATTTGTTTTGTAGCAGCATGGAGTCGAGAATTCTACGTGCTACTCCAATCATCCGCTCCCAGGCACCTCCCATATGTGATGAGTGGGGTGGGTTGAATTCCCAAGTGCAGCCATGTTCGCTGAGGTAGCGTTGAACATCATTCGCCTGCTGCTGCTCCTTTCCAAGCTGTAACTCGTCACAGGCTCCCATATAAGCCCTTGGACAACACCGAATACAGTGGTTTTTTAAACTTTATTCAGACACTTTGTAAATAATATGTATTATTAAAGTATTTATTATTTAGGCTTAATTGTTTACTTTGAGAAGCAAATGAAAAAAAAAAAATAATACATGTATTTATTTGTTGAAGATGTGTCACTGTCAATAAAACAAAAAAAGACACTGACAATATTTTATCTGCTTCATATTTCTGCCATTTGTTGACCATCTTCATATACCCCCTCCCTCACGTGCAGGTCAACTGGGTCCCCAACCAACTCGGTCCCATGTATGCAGATCAGCAATCAGTGCCAGATCAAATATATTCCTCGGTCCCAAGGAACTTGGCCCCTGCGGAAGTATTTTTAGCACAAACAAAGGCTGAATACTTTTAAGATCTCTTGCATTTTGATCTGTCCTGTCCCTCAATGACTTGCTGGATCGTTTTCCCCCCTAAATTTTGCTCTTGACTCGAGACCCACACACACACACACACCCACATCCCTGTATTTGCCTGCAATTGGGGACCCCCTATTTTCCCTCTTTTGTTTGTATTCTAACTTTCAAGAAAGACCGCCCATATGTTTTGTAGGCCTACATGAATCCAAATTGGGAACCCCTCGGGAATTGAAATTGTCCTCTGTTGTTCAACGTCCCCTATATTGAATGCACAATCTCTTTGTTTGTGTTTTCCCACTGCTTGAGCTTACAACTATAATGACTGATTTGTTTTAACTATGGGTGGGGTGGGGCTAGTCACAATGAAAATATTTCTACTACAATAGGAGTATTATAGGACTAACTGAACACAATTTGGGAAAGCCTAAGCAGTAAGCGAGTTCATACAATGTCAGGGGTTTTTTGGTGGTTGTCACTTTATATGCATCTCGCTCTCGGGATAGGTGGGTAGGCATGGTAGGCCTACTGCCACCACAGATAATCTTCACTTTAAAAAAAATCTGGGCTAATCAGCTAATAATAGTTAGGCCTAGGCCTATAATAGTAATACCTAGCTAGGCCTTGTGTTAAGATTCAATCGGATTTTTTTAATTACTTACCAACATACCACAGGAAAACCAATGCCGACTTTGTAATATCTGTATGTGGATTTCCGGGGATTTGTCTTGGCCTCAACTCTGGACAAGGTCCAAGTTGCTGAATGAGAAGCTCAAATGTAGTTTTTTTCAAGCCGAAAGTGACTCTTGAAGTCCGTTGGTTCGTACTGCGGGACGGTGTACTCGACGTACTCCTCAACTTTTGGGACGTAGTCCCTACGATTTGTCAATAAATTTACAGTTACCTGGTCGTTTTGACATATTTGTCGATAATTTAGAGCAAATTCGTTTACTCTCTCGTCAATTGATCGCACTGCAATGATGCAGCTAATTAATTTCGATCGATGCCTCTCCATTTTCCTGATGAGCAGACGACGTGTTTACATTTCGCACTCTTTAAAGTTCCCGCTCAACAACCTTTGACCTATTATTTTCCCAGCATGCTTAGGTAAAAAACACCGCGGCGTTCGATTAGTCTCGTTTCGTGGCTTCCCCCGGGTGTTACCTCCAGGTAAACACGGGAAGCTAATCGAACGCACCCATTGTTGACTGCTGTGATGCGGGATGTGATGGTTTGAACGCCCGAGGGGCGCATAGAACCCAAAGCGAACCCGAACAGGGTGCTATGCGTCCCAAGGGTGTTCAATACGTCATAATGTCGCACATCACAACAGTCAACAATTATTGTTTTGCTATACCTCTGTCTTGGAGTAAACACAACAAACATGACACTCTAACATCAACTCACATGCATGTCGCTTGCATGCTCGAAACAGCTGATTGTCTGCTAATTCGCTGCTCCCACACGTGTGAAAACATGGTGAAAGTAGCATAGGTACCAATGGTACAAGCGTTTCACACTGCACCGATGTCATAGCACACTCACTGTTGGATATCACAGACGTGATATGAAATATACATGCGCTTTTGTAGCACTGGGAATTCGTAAATGGGGAGCCAGCCAAGTCCACGCTTCTAATTTGTTCGCTCAGCGCTGCACGGTTACCAGAGAATCCTGGATTTCCGGATTTTCTCCAAGGAAAATTCCCTAACTTGGAAAAAAAAATACAAGAATTTTGCTTTAGAAAAATCCCGAAGTGGTATCACTGATACGACTGATAACTGCACTCGATTTGCACTCCCGAGAACTGGGTCGCGTACCGAGTCCAAACCAACGAGTCCGTGCCAAATTTCGAGTACAGAGAATCGAGTACGGGCCGAGTCCAAATAATTTTCGAGTACTGATCGTCGAGTACGGGCCGAGTACTTGAGTGTACTCGAGTTGTACTCGAGTACAATTACGAGTACTCCAACACTGGCAGTAACACACCCGGGTTCACGTTTAATTGGCACCGTATTACGCTTTACCGACTTTTTCATCTTTTTTGCTTGTGGTATCTTAACCATGTTACGGTTTGGTGTAATTCGATTGCGTGCAATTGGTCACACTCTGCGCAACAAGTTGAATTATTAACTGGGCAACTGGGCCCACCGTTTTCGTGAGTAGCATCAGTGTTTACCTTTTATCTACCTGAATAACCTTTTATAAGCTATGACTTAAGGTGTTATGCTTGAGTATTATCCTAAATGAACCCAGAAGTGGAAAACATTGTCTTCTTTGTGTAATACCGCTACCGAGATTAACGAGCAATAAGACTACATTATGAAAGACATTTTATCCAATTCGTAACTAGGCTTTAATGTAATTAAACGGCTACAATATAATCATTAGGAGTTGTTATGCAGTCAATCGAAGTCAAGTCGTAGGTAGCAAAGGATGAACAATGACAAAACGAATGCTTTTGTCACTGCACAGTTATCAGCCCGCCGCGTCACTTCACCTGAAGACTTGTGATCATGTAAGAACTTGTAGGGACTTCCTTACACCCACGTCACTATTGGCAACTTAAAATACTTAACTGATTATACACAGTGGATGGGTAATCCGCCATTATGGTAAATACAGGGTGAGTCAAAAAAAAGCGGAACCCAAACCCCAAAAAGTATATTTCATAATTAAACAAATATGTGGCACCAAAAATAATAATGACTGGAAAGCCAATTTCATAAGCTACTTTTAGATGAAAATATTACTGAATTTACTTAATCCGTTCAAAGAATATCACAATTTCAATGACCCTAAAACCTGTCTCGTCCAAAAATGCAATTTCAAGAATTTTCGTCACAATTGTCTTCAAACATCACCAGCGATTAAACCACAGTTTAAAAGTTAAAAATATTCAACAAAGTCCTTTTGAAGGCCCGTCTTTCAAAAAAGTGGATTTTATAAATCATTGTTTGCCTAACCAGGGTTGTTTATAGAGATATTGTGTACTACACTTGTTGACAGTTGTTGAAACAAGTATTCTGTGTCATTTTCTTTGTTGTTCCAAACAGTCAAAACACACAATAAATTGCTTTTTTTTGGGCGAGACAGGTTTTAGGGTCATAGCGTTTAAATGGTGATATTCTTTGAATGGATTAAGCAATTTCAGTAATTTTTTCATCTAAAAGTAGCTTATGAAATTGGCTTTCAAGTCATTATTATTTTTGGTGCTACATATTTTTTTAAATATGAAATATATTTTTGGGGGTTTGGGTTCCGCTTTTTTTGACTCACCCTGTATGTTTTTTTTTTTTTTTTTTACAATATCACAGTTTTACGTAATAACCGCTACATTTTTGCCTCTTTCGTCAAAAGAAATTGATCTATCATAATAGAAAATAGAAGTTTAACACGCTACAGTATAAGCCGCTATTATAATAAATGATTTTGTGAATATAATATTATATCATATTTTATGTAAACAGCCGCTACCCTTTTTTGTATTATTTTTACATTAATTGATTATAAAGTTTAAAACGTACACGCTAAAGTAAGTGCACTTCACTAAACAGCACTGGGTATAGTGCTAGTTGCATTAATATTTCTATTTTACATTGTAAATGAGACCAACTATTGCCTACAAAATTGTAGTTTGGAAAGTCTAATAACAAAGACAAACACGCCTGAAACTATTATAATAAGCTTACGTGTAATTTGTAAATATTCAACATTGAACACAACGCCTTCTAGTGTCGGGAAATGGCACATACAAGGTATTCGCTGGTACCCACCGCCCTCAAGCAGGGCGATGGGGAGGGCTGGTCTCATTCACAACATATTGTGTGGCAAGCACAGGCGTCGCAAAGCATTGTGGGGAGCTTACTGCCTCAACCAATGCACGTACATTCTGTGCGCGCACATTTTGTAAGTACGGTTCATTACACCTATCCACTGTTGCCCTTCTTGCGCCGCAAAAATAGGAAATTTGTACACACAACACAGGGAAAATTCCCAGTGGTATATCTAGGGTTAAACTGTAAAAGACATCTGGGGTACACACAAAGGCAAATGATACATTTTTTTTCAATTCAACATTTTTTTTTGGGGGGGGGGGGAGGGGAGGGGGCAAGTAAATCCGTTTTGAGGCACGCGCCACCCTGCCCTCCCCACCCCCTCGTAGACGCCACTGCGAATGTCGCACACTCTGCATCTGCGGCTACAGTACCGGTGTTGGGTTTGTGTAACTATGTGCGTGGATCAGTCCTTGTAGGTATTGTAAGAAGACATCAGCGCAATATCCGGGGCCTGAACTGCTCTCTGGTTGTTGTTTTTCCTCCACCTAAAGCGAAGGAATGCATGAAAAAAAAGTTGTCATCAATTAAATATTTATCAACCACTGCTACTGCAGGTTGTTCCCCTTGACATTGCATGGGACATCTCTATAACGAAGTTGAATTAGTGTAATCATGCAATGCTCAGTTTCAATGTCGGTTTCTGTGGTGGAAAAAAAGTAGCTTATCTAAGTCTATAAACAGATCTGGCTGAACACGACTGAATTAAATGCCCAATTGGAAGATGGAACGCTTGCTTGTAAAAGTGAGGCCGATATCAAGGAGCTAAGAAGAGATGTGCTTAACAAGAATAGGTTACCAGCAAAAATCTCATGTCATGTTAATGCTGTTAACTGGTACGCTGCCAAGGGCGGATCCAGAACACACTTTTTTGGGAAGGGGCCAAAAAAATGTTGGACCCCCAAAAGTGGGTCCTTAAAAATTACGGCGTGAGGTTCGGGGACCGCTCAAGGGTCCTAAACAAATTGGATTCTAAATGCTCTTGTGGTGCGATCTGAGGCAATTTCTGACCAATTTAACCAATGTTTTGGTGGTGAACGCAGTGCCTGCCTTTATTGCAACGTCACATTGAAAAAATTGGGTTCGTTTTGGAGCCTTGGCCCCTGTTGCCCCCCGGATCCACCCTTGTACGCTGCCAGTGTCCGCTAAAAACATCACTCTCGTGCTCCGTCCCTCGAGCTGCCTCACTTTGCAACTCCTAACCGGCATATTCTCCTTCCCCTGTTTATATTTGTCACAGAAAAAAGGTTGAATTTAAACAAATTCTCTTTTCTTACGTTTCCTCCTTGTAAAGTGATGTCACCTCGAGTGGATTTAGCCTGACGGTTTGCAAATAGCACAGACATATAGAAAGTGAGCTCACCTTCTTCTGATGAGGAGGACAACAAGAAGCAGGATCACCACGAAGACAACTCCTCCGGCCGCTGCTCCCCCTGCTGCCTTCCCCACTAGCGTGTCATAAGCTTCAAATACAATAAAAATACAGTAGTTTTGCTCAGTCGGCACTTAGAACCCCAATGTACTAATCAGCCACCAACGTAAATACATTACTCGAATATCTTATAAGTTGCATGTTTATGCAGATCATAATTAAAATGTATTCTGATTGATATCCTTCGTGAGATGCTGTTCAATGATTGATGACTCAAAAGTAACACTGGCCCATGTGATACATTTTGTTGGATTGAGTCACACTTAATGATCTCGTACCTCTGGGATCATCTGCCGGAGAACACTTCACTGGTTTGCTGGACCAAGAGCCGTCTGATTGGCAGACGCGCTCCGCGTCGTGACGGTCGGTTCCCGTGACGACAAAGCCACCACTGCACGTAAAAGTGGCCACCTCGCCTGGTTGAAATGCGTGATCTTGCCCTTCGGCTATTGTCACGTGGTTCAATCTGGGTGGAGCCGAGCAGCCCTCGTCAACGACTGTTTAATGAAACAATACAAGATTTGCATTTAAACTGAAAAGTAAAACAGAGAGACACGAGCTTTTAGATTAGTATATTCTTAGCCCGGAACGAATCAAATAAATGAAATTGATATCAATATACTCATTTTCGATGGGGCCACAAATAACGCTGGCGACATGTGATACATTTTGTTAGATTGAGTCACATTCTGTTCTCTTACCTCTGGAAATAATGACTGTCGTCATCAGTGGCAAACACGTTCCAGATGCAATGTTCTTTGAGTGCATATGAACTGAGCTATGTGTTAAAACATTATTTTATTATTATTTAGGCACTTTTGGCAGCCACGTTCAGGTCATACAATGTAAAGATTAGCTAGTCAGTTGGGCGTAAACAAAAATTAGCCCTAACGAATCTTTAGCTTATTCAAGCAATAACTTGCCTAATTATGTGCCCATTCGACAAACCCATCTGGCACATTGACTTATGTTTGTTTTCATAAATGAGAGTGCAATAAAAAATTCCCAGTGGATTTTTCAGCTCGCCAGAGTAGTGTCATTATGACAAATAGCGCCCCCACACTATTCTGTCCCTGGGAAAATGGAAGTCACTATATGTATTTTGAAACTCTGTATGTAGGTTCCAGACCAATAAATACACCGCCCTAGACCTTAGTGATAATCAGCCGCACTTTTCAATAATCAGGACAAATACTCACAACTATCCTCAATTAAGCTTACCTCGTATTCGGCAACAGTAAGTTTAGGGCCCAGTTCCATCCAAATTTCACAGAAATGCAAGTTTGCGCTCCTGACCGCAAGCTTGCATTTCTGTGAAAGTTGGACGAACATTCTATTCTTCATGCACATGATTTCTTTACAAAACTCTGGCGGATTCAATACATTTCATATTTTCCCAGATTTGGCAAAAATGGAAAAGTGACGTATGCATTCATTGCAACGACGGACCAGGGACTCGACAGAAATGCGCCAGTTTTGTAGACCACTTACTTTTCGTTGCAGCGCGGCTGGTAGTCGTTGCAGTTGCGGTAGTAGTCGTTGCAGTTGGTATGGTCACAGTAGCTCCAATACAAACAGAAAGATAAAAACATTTATAACATGTTTGTTTTGCTTATTTGAGAGGTGATATGTGATGAAGTGATTTATATAATGGAGGGACGCTATTTTTTTTGTGTTGTCGAAATATATAGCCAGCACAAAACCAACCACTTGGATCAATTTTTCGAAACTGGGAGTTTTGGCTCATTGGAAAGTCAACTTAAGTAAGATGCCACCATGATATTCCAATAATCGTGGGAATCGGACAGTTATAGGTTTTTTTCAGTTCCAGCATCGAATTTATTTATTCATTTTTAAAGTTGTCATTAAAGTTTCCCAACATTGCTTCTCTTTTGATAGTATGGAATGCATTTCATTATTTAATTTTGTTTGGGTTTAGCAAGGGCCAACCCAGGTTTTGATTTTGCCTTTAGTTTTGTACCTTAATTTGGCTGGGCCATTCCCAGAGGGGGTGGCCGGGGGGGGGATTCAAACACCTGCTCCGACATGGGTACGGAAGCCCGTTAGGACCAGTACGTCTTTCTTTTTCACAGCGGTTCCTTTTTCTTTCACGCGCGGTGGTGCGTTTCTCTTTCATGGTAGCTATAGTCTCTCTTTCATAATGCGAGTCTCTCTCGTTCATGGAAGTTAGCCTCTCTGTCAGAACGTGTGTCTCTCATTAACTTGCGGTCGCTAGATAAGGGAGTCGCGGCCGCGAGATAATTAACTCGCGGCCGCGAGTTACTCACATCTAGAGAGAAATAGACCCCTGTGAAAAATGGACTTGACCCTTGAAAGAGAAAGGAATACGTTATAAAAGAGAGGCTATCTAGCATGAAATAGAGACAGGGGAGACACGTTATGAAAGAGAAACGCACCGCCCCGAAAGAGAAAGACGTACCTATCCCTTAAAGGCTTCCGTAGGCCTACATATTCTGTGAATTGCACATATTCCGTGCATTAAATGCTTGCATCAGAGAGGCTGAGGACACTTGCTTGGCTTGGCGGGCGGCGAATCTTTTTTCCCAAACGACATCCGTTTCCCATCTTCTGATTGGTCCATTTCCTGCATATCGAACACCTTGTTCTTCCCAACACAACCCAAAAATAGGCTTGACGTCTTGTGAGAAATGTTCCTTTCGTGTTGTATAGAAATACTTGAAGTACATGTATGTGTGACCCTCCAGCATCAATTTTTGGAAAGAATATAGTTATCGAACAATTTATAATTGTTTCCATTCCCATATTTCAAGCCTCGAGATTTTTGTAAAGTCAAATTCGTCCTTACAAGTTTCCAAAAAAGTCCTCAGCTACGACTCTAAATTAATTTACACTATGTCATCAATATTGTATTTATCAAAGACTACATCTCAATGCCTGGCAACTTTTGACTGATTTTACACTGGATCGAGGGTCACATGACCTGTGGTTATTAATGTTTAACTTCATTCACCGCGTTCTTACCAATTGATCCATAGCTTCGAGCTGATAGAGAAAAACCTTTTCTGTTTAGACTACCATCAGATGTGAACCTCAGCCACATGGCAATACCGGTTGAGGGCGTATCAGGCGGGAGCCTGCTCCCACTAAGACGGAGAACCCTAGTGGAGGAGTCGGTAGAGTTGCGGCCATTGCCAACCTCCAAATAATCAGAAAGGTACGTACGGAAAGTGTGGAAACTGATGATGATTCTCTGGCCCTCCGCTGCTTGGATAAGCCACTGGATGTCCAGACTGTCCTGGTAGTTGCTTGGATAGGATGGCGAGGTAATGTTGATTGACTGGTTTGCTGCAAGATAGATCAGCTCTGTGGAAGAACGTTACAGAAGATTGAATTGAGTGAGAAATGATGGCTTTATACAAGTAGGCAAACCAGTTGATTTCACGTTGCATTTGAATTCCATTCATCGAGTTTAGTGATAGTCCTTACCTATTTCACACCTCGTGCCTTCAAACCCATCGAGACATTCACAGTTGAAGCCAGACCTCCCCACTGGTTGACACGTCCCGCTGTTCAGACAAGAGTTCAATATACAGCCTATGGTTGTAACAAGTGAAAAATAAACCAAAGCAACTATAAATATGTTTTCGGGTAATTACGACACCAGTAACATCAAGCATTATCCCAGCAAACACAGAACGTTCAAAAAAACATCGTGGTAGGTTTTACATACGTTACCTACGTTTTCGTCCAAATAGTGTTCCTTCGTTTTGAAAGAACGTAGTACGGCAGCAACTTTGAAACTGCTCATTGCCAAATGAGAAGATCTGCACAATGCGCAACATTTAATGATTTGGCACTGAAGGGTCACATGTGGTTATTAATGTGTTTACTTCCTTCACCGTGCTCTTACCAATTGATCCATGATAGCTTCGAGCTGATAGAGAAAAGCCTCTTCCAATGCCAATAGCACCAGATGTGAACCTTAGCCACATGGCATTGCCGGTTGAGAGTGTAACAGGCGGGAGACGGCTCCCACTTCTACGGAACACCGTAGTGGAGGAGACAGTAGATTTTCGTCCATTGCCAACCTCCAAAAAATCATAGTACAGCGTGTCGAAATCGTGGAATCTGAGGATGATTTTCTGGTCATCCGCTGCTTGGATAAGCCACTGGATGTCCAGATTGTTCTCGTAGTACCATGGATAGGATGGCGAGGTAATATTGATTGACTGGTTTGCTGCAAGATATATCAGCTCTGTGGAAGAACATTACAGCAGATTGAATTGAGTGAGAAATGATGGCTTTATACAGTAAGCCAATCAATTAATTTTACGTTTCATTATTTTGAAATTCCATTCATCGAGTTTATAATCCTTACCTATTTCACACCTTGTGCCTTCAAACCCGCCGGGACACTCACAGTTGAAGCCAGACTTCCCCACTGGTTGACACGTCCCGCGGTTCAAACAAGAGTTCAATATGCAACCTAAAGTTGCAACCAGAGAAAAAAAATAAACTAGTAATGTGTTTTCAGGTAATTAGAATACCGCTAAGTGAAGTATTTTTCCTGTTGTGTTCACAACCAGTCACTTGGATGAATTTTTGGAAATGGGACTTTAGTCTCAAGGGAAATGACAGTGAGTAAGTTTTCAATGATATAGAAAATGGGAATCGGACAGATTATTTTTTTCCCTTTTTTTTACCAAAATCAAGGGGGGGGGGGCAACTTTTTATAAACAAACTTGTTGATCAGGTTTCCTAAATAACTGTTCAGCTTCGCACGTTTTTATAAAGCAATCAAAATGAAATTTGGAATATACATTTGTATAAACTTTGTCCTTTTATTTTCACTGTTTCATGAGACTTTATTATTCCGCTTAGTTGCACTGAGAGAAAAGTAAACTAACTTGCGATTTTTAATGTGTTTTCAGGGAATTACGACACCGGTAACAAGAAAAACTATCTTTCGTGTTGTGTGGAAATATTTGAAGTGAATGTACGTGTGACGCTACAACATCAATTTTGGAAATGGGATTTCGGGCTTATTGGAAAGGACATTGAGTAAGCTTCCACTGATGAATATGGTTATCGGACAATTTATAATTATTTAAATTCTTGAATTTCAGTCCTCGATTTTTTTTTTACATCTACAAATTGTATAAATTGTTCATTTGTATAAAGCAGTCAAAAGGACATTTGAAATTCGCATATTCCAATTTTCTAATATTTATTTACAATTATGTTATTAAAATTGTATATATCATGGACCACATCTCAATTTGATGTAGCTTAGCACTTTTGACCAATTTTGCACTGGATGGTCAAATGTGGTTATCAATGTTTAACTTCATTCACCGCGCTCTTACCAATTGCTCCAATGCTTCGAGCTGATAGAGAAAAACCTTTGCTGTTTTCACTACCATCAGTTGTGAACGTTAGCCACATAGCATTGCCAGTTGAAAGCGTATCAGGCGGGAGAACGTTCCCACCCCTACGGAAGACCGTAGTGGAGGAGTCGGTAGAGGCGAGGCCATTGCCAACCCCCACAATATCATGATACCACGTGTTGAAATCGTAGAAAGTGAGGATGATGCTAAAGTCCTCCGCTGTTTGGATAACCCATTCGATGTCCAGATTGTTCTGGTAGTTGCTTGGATAGGATGGCGAGGTTATGTTGATTGACTGGTTTGCCGCAAGATTGATCAGCTCTGTGGAAGAACATTACAGCAGATTGAATTGAGTGAGAAATGATGGCCTTATACTGTTGAGATTCTAAAGATCGAGTTTTAATACTTACCTTTTTTACACCTTGTGCCTCCAACCCCATCGGGACATTCACATTTGAAGCCAGACCTACCCACTGGATGACACGTCTTGTTGTTCAGACAAGAGTTCATTATACAGCCTATAGTTGTAACGAGAGAAAAAAAAAATATACAAAATCAACTATCATTGTGTTCTCAGGTTATTATGAATCCAGTAACATCTAGACTTGGTGCCAAGTCGGTAATTGGCTTACGTGCGGTTACTGTCTCTACGCACGCAAAATATCGTTGCAAATCGCCTAGTCTGGTTAACAAACCAAATGATGGTGACTATTATGTTGTGATCAATTACCGACTTGGAGAAAAAGTCTTTAGTTTTGTACACATTATGGGAGTATTTTGAATTGCTAGCGAATTATATGCGAGCACTCTGATTGGATTCAGATTCCAGAGTGTATTCTAGGCCGCCACGGAAGATCATTGTCATTGGTTCTAGTACTACAATGATTCATTTTATATCTATGCACAATTGACCAAGCTGAGTGTTTTGGTCGTTAAAACGTCGCCAGATGTGCAACATAATCCCTGGCGTATTGAGAAGAACTCCCTATGTAACTGAATGAATGAGTCCTCATTTGCATAGCGGTGCGCCATTGGATCTAACCGCAAAAAAATGCATTGCATATGTATTGCTCTGCTTTAACAGTGCGAGAACATAATCGTCAAGTCGTTAGATATGTCGCAACCGGCCGATTACGTACTAGTCTTATACCAGCCGCGCCGATGTTGTTCGACTGAAGTTCAGGGACAAAATATAACGAATTGTCATCATGTCTAATAACATCTAGCAATATCTTTCGTGTTTTGTGGAAATAGTTTGATGTCGTGACCCTCCAGCACAAAATCAGTCACTTGGGATCGATTTTTGGAAACTGGAATTTGGAAAGAACATCGAGTAAATTTCCGATGATATACAATAACCATGGGACCATTATTTAAGCATTTTCGGTTCACAAACTGCAAGCATCGATTTTTTTTCAAAGTTTCCCAAATAAGCTCCTCAGTTACGCGCCTTTCTGTAAATCAATACAAATGAAATATGGAATAAACATTTATCAGTTTTCTTAAGTTTATTTACACCATTTCATCAATATTATATTAATCATACACTTCATTTCAAAATGTGGCCTTGCAACTCTTGACTGGTTTTGCACAGGAAGGTTACGTGTGGTTCTAAATGTGTAACCTCATTCACCGCGATCTTACCAATCATCGGTCCAACGCTTCGAGCTGACAGAGAAAAATTTGTACTGAACAAACCACGATAAGATGTGAACCTCAGCCACATGACATTGCCAGTTGAGGGCGTATCAGACAGGAAAATGTTCCCATGCAAACGGATGATCGTTGTAGAGAAGTTGGTCCAATCGATACCATCCCCGGCACTCAGACGGTCGCAACAATTCTCCGTATTGAAAGCGTGGAAACTGAGGATGATTCTCTGGTCCTCCGCTGTTTGGATGACCCACTGGATGTCCAGACTGTCCTGGTAGTTGCTTAGAAAGGATGGCGAGGTAATGTTGATTGACTGGTTTGCCGCAAGATTGATCAGCCCTGTGGTAGAACATTAAAGCATATTGACTTGAGTGAGAAATGATGGCTTTATACAGGTAAGCCAATCAGTTGATTTCATGTTGCATTTGAAATTCCATACATCGAGTTTAGTGATAGTCCTTGCCTGTTTCGCATCTCGTTCCTTCAAACCCATCTAGACATTCACAGTTGAAGCCAGATCTCCCCACTGGTTGACACGTCCCGCTCAGACAAGAGTTCAATACACAACCTACAATTGTAACAAGAGAAAAATAAACCAAAGCAACTAATGTGTTTTCAGGTAAAAGACACCAGTAACATCAAGCAATATCTTTCGTGCTGTGTATGTGACCCTTCGGGACAGAACCAGTCACTTGGATCAATTTTTGGAAATGAGATTTTTTGCTCACCGGAAAGGACATTGTGTAAGTTTCTAATGGTATAGAAATTGGGAATCGGACAGTTATAATTATTTCAAGTTCCAAAATTTCAGGCCTCGAAAAGTTTTTACAAATCTACAAATTCGTCGTTAACGTTTCTAAACTAAGCTGCTCTGTAATTACGCGCATTAATTTTCTGTACATCAATCAAAGTAAAATTTGGAGTATACATTTATCGAATTTCTTAAATCTATTAACACAATTTGTTCAATATTCTATTTATCATAAATAACATCTCAATGTGTGGCCTTCCGACTTCTGACTGGTTTTGCACTGGAGGGTCACACATGGTTATATAATGTTTAACTTCGTTCACCGTGCTCTTACCAACTGATCCATAGCTTCGAGCTGATAGAGAAAAGCCACTTCTGGTGGCAGTACTATCAGATGTGAACCTAAGCCACATGGCATTGCCGGCTGAGAGCGTATCAGGCGGGAGACTGCTCCCACTCGACCTGAAGATCCTTGTAGAGTAGTTTGCAGAATCCATACCGTCCCCGACACTCAGATGGTCGCAACAACTCTCCGTGCTGAAAGCTTTGAAACTGAGGAGGATTCTAAAGTTCTCCGCTGTTTGGATAACCCACTGGATGTCCTGATTGTTCTGGTAGTTGCTTGGATAGGATGGCGAGGATATGATGGCTGAATCGTTTGCCGCGACTTTGATGAGGTTCGGCTCTGTGGTAGAATACACAAATGGTTTATGGTAAGCAATGGTGGCTTTATTTTGATATTGCCAATCAATTCTAATGCTGTTGCATTCAAAATTATATGATCAAGTTAAATGAAGCTATAAGCATTACACGTAGCTTCACATCTTGTGCCTACAAACCCAGCAGGACATGCACAGTTGAAGCACCTTTCCTGAAGTTTCAACCATTATTTTGGGTTTATGTTATTTTATCTATTTTTTCTTCTCAATCTTATATCTTCTTTGTTAGATGCTCTGACATATTTACTGTTTGCCTTTCAAACACCAATGATAAATCTGTGATTTGTTAAGGGTCCCTTAAATGAGTTTCACTGCAAAACTTGGTGTTTTGTAGATACCCTAATTGATACCGACATTGTAGCTCGAGACACAATTGAAGCTAGTCCAACAGTCCAGCGGCTCACAGCCAATTTTGGGCGGGAGACATAGTGACACGCCGGATTAAAACACCTTTTATAGCCTTGACCAATGCTATCTACTTCTTCCCTGAACGAGTGGACGTCCAGCTTATAGGACAATACTTTGTCCGACGTGACGATAATTTTCAATTTTGACCCCTGCGTGACCCTGGTTTGGCCTTAGTTGACCCCTACAAAGAAACGAAGGGGTGGTTATGAGAAGAACAAAACGGTTTTTTGCTTTCTATATACGTTGATGAATTTTAAAAGGGGGTTTGACTTCCGCCAAGAAGGAGACTACGAAACAAATAAACCAGCTTTCCCCACTGTCTGTACGTATATCTCGGGATGACCTTCTTGCAGGAAGCTGTCACTTTGTGTAAAGACAGCGTCGGTATGTGAAGGCAAGCAAGGGGATCGTCAGTGTTGTAGTCGAGTACTTTTTTCCGAGTACCGAGTACTGCCGAGAGCGAGTACGAGTACGCTAAAAAAAAAAGTACTCGTTACTTTACAACACTGGTGATCGCTGAGGCTAGTGTGCACGGCGATGTGCCGTGACAAGTAGGCCTTAAACCTAACAGGGCCGGAGTGGGACTTTTTCCACGATACCCTTGCAAAACAAAATGGTCCCGACCCGAGCTTTTCTGACTTTTTAGCCTCGAGTCTTGCGCATCTTTTGATACCAAAAATATAAAATTCCGACCATGGGTTGCTGCACAGCGATTTTTTTCTGCGCTGCGCGCCGTGAAAACTGAAGTTTCCCATATATGTAGTGTACCCAAAGCAGAATTACCATTGGTGCATATGGATAATTTTAATCAAACTTAGCCATAATTTCAAAACTCTTCAACCTTTAGTCATGACATTTCTTGGGTATGTTCATATTAAGTTGTTCTATGCATGTACCAAGTTTCATAATTGCTCGTCACTCAACGGCCGAGACCCCCCCCCCCGGCTGTCAGATGGTCAAAATAACCAGGCCCCTTTAGGGTTAATACGGGAACCGGACAAATCAGCCTAAAATTACTGAACTGTATGGTAGTGGCCTCACACTCCTTCGGGGAAGAAGTAGACAGCCTTGGTAAGGGTTGTAGTTTCAAAAATACATGGTCCAAAGTTCACCTGAAATCTTGTTGGATGGAATCTACATTTGTACGAGTTATTCATATGCGTGATCGTGCACACGCACACACAACATCGCTATGACGAACAGGGTCGGTCGCATATCAATAGGGGTTCTTACAAAAAAAATAGTCTGCGGAACACAATAACTAACAAGTGGTTCGCCGAATTGCGTATGTCGCCCTTTTTTTCGGCGGGTTGATCTCTATATTTTTTGTGTTCTTAAAAAAAAGGCGAAGTTAATTGTTTGTATTTTTAAACAAGCCTGAAATGACTACTAGATGACATTTGACCTCCAATTGCGGAAGAGTCGTAAAGAACCCCCCATCCAAGAATCACTCCATCCGAGTTACCCTAAAATCCATCAAATTCTGTACACAAAGAAATGTTTGAAGCGTATTTCAACAAGGACCCCTAATGACCCCTATATGACCTTTGACCTCAGCAATCCGATGCAGAATTGTGTCTTCCCACCCAAGGGTCACGGCATCAAAGTTTCATCAAAATCCATGTAAGTCTGTAGAAGTTATAAATGCTTTTTTTCAAAACTGACACCGTGAGAATCCGCACCAAGAAAACTGAATACTTCACATCAGCCATAGAGAAAAAGCAACACATCCATATTTATGAAAAAAAAAGGTTAAGGGGGTTCTTAAAGATTAAAATGAGGATCGTGATAACCAGCGGTTGAGTGTACGATTAGCCCAAGTTGCTTCGGTGAGCTAATCGAGCGCACCCCATAGATCAATGTTTGCTCGACTAAACTGGGTGCCATCTTCTGAAAAAGTTAAGTGTAAAATGTCCATTTTGGTTTTTAAATGTGTAAAAAAATTATTCCTTAATACATAACGAATCTTTTCACACCATTTACACAATTCGTGAAACAAGACAATCAACTAACAAGGCCTTGAAAGTTCCTTTAGCCAAAAAGGAATGCTATGCCAAAAGTTTCGCAGTGAGTTGTGCGAATATTATGTAATAATTTGCATGAACTACTCAGAACTATAGATTCCTTAAGTACATTTAAATCAGAACTACGCAAAGCCATAAGTGAGTGATATTTAGTTCAAAATACGCTGATCTACGGAGTTATATAGGCGTTTTTTTTTTCGAAAGGGTTTTTGTGGGGTTTTCGCCCATCCCGTGATCAGTAATTTATGCCTTATATAAAGATGAATGTCTAAAATATGTACAGTGTATTTAGCTTGTGTTTAATATTTCTGAGATATATGTACTTGTATTTGTTGTTATTAATGTTAGTCGTATGTTTCACCAATTTACTTTTCCTCGTGAATTTAACTTTACTTAACATTATTTAATAATTTGTTATGCATGCAGGCTCCAATGGAAACCAGTTTTTAACTGTTTGGGCACACCCGGGTAAAGAAATGGAATTTATAAATAAATGTAGTGAGACGTCTTTTGCGAGGCACCGTGCAATTGGCGCACGGCCCAGAAAAATGTATATAAACGCCTGCACTCAGTGCGTGAACGCGCGAATATCAGCCCTTTTCTGCATGCACACCAAAAGTGTGAGTATCGTGTGCATAGATTTGTGCTTAAAATCCAACATTTAGTTTCAAATGCGCAAAATTTGTATTTTCTTTACATTCTAATGTCATAATGCACATTCTCTGCTACTTCTAGGTTTCAGTGTGTTTCATGTTGCCAAAAGGAGTGATTTCGGGGTTGATTAGTCATCGTAATCTCAAACTTTTAATCACCGTGTGTCGCATGTTGATTTATTACAATACGACTGTTTCATGTCAGGTGCAATTTGGAGGCCTAGTTCACAACACAGCCGTACACTGGCCAGGCGTTCGGGGAACCGGGGCAACTTTAGAAATACAAACTGTGTGATATAATTTATCATAGGCAACTTTATTACAATTTATAGAGCTGGAAATTGAATCTTATATGCTCTTTGTAACACTTGTTCTGTGAGTTTAGATTGAGACTTAGATCCAGAACTATTGTTATTTATTTTGTAAACAAGTAATCTGTAACAAGTTCATGAGACCAAACATAATGTGCTTCCTGTTTGATTCTTTCTGTTTGTCTTGATTTGTCCTTGGCGTCCTTAAAGGGAATATACATCATTTGCTTTTGCTGTAAATGCTATAAAAACCAAGAAAAACAATCATTTTCCTGTAGTCTGGTTCCCTGACTCCGTTGAAGAAGAAACTGAGCAGTTTACATACATTGGGGAATTGTAAGGTCAGGGAAACCAGTCTAGCTGGCTTGTACCTGTTCATAGGTGTGTAATCGATTGCAAACAAGTGCGATGGTCAACTGGGGCCAGTATATGAAAAAAGCCAGTTTTTTCCAATGCTGGTCGGGCCGATCAGCGTTGGAAATTGATACAAAAATACCACCTTTCTTGAAAATGACAGTATACGAGGTGCCATGATTTTACAGGATGCTTTACACTGTCATTCACTAACAGTCCAGCAAGGTATTTCAAAATGATTTGGTAGTTTTATTTTTTGATGTTTGCAAATGTTGTATTTTCCCTTTAAATCTAATCATGTGAGCGTACCTCCGTAATGCATGCGGATACCGCTACATAAATAAATGGTCAATGCTGATTGTTCGATGCTGACTTTCCGGTACCCGGACGTAGGCCAGATCACGTGATTGGTGTATGTGCCCTATCGTCTGAACTGCTTAAACAAATGGGGGTGATAGAATATACAATCCCGAACAAAAACAAACATTACAACTTACCGTCATTTGCTAGCATTATGGACGGCAGAAGCAGCATAAGTCCAGTAAAAACACCAAACGCCTTGCTTGGGAAACGTAGCATTGTGGATGAGGTTTCCAGCAATTAATGGAATAGACCAGCAACCTACCGGTAACACTTATTACGTGGTCGCGATGAAATAGCAACCTGAAACAAATAGAATCGCAAGATAAGGGCCGGAGCCGTATCATAAGTCCGATGCCTCATAGGTCTGACGCCTCATAAGTCCGAAATTTCGGAATTATGAGGCGTCGGACTTATAGGGCATACAATTTATTTATTCCGCCTCATAGGTCCGTCGCCTCATAAGTCCTAAGGGTCAATTTTCAGTTCCATCGCAACCCCATCAGTCTTTCATTTTTCACATAGCTTCGATTCGCTTTTGCCGTAAAATAGGCTTGTACAAAGATGGAGTCCGGCCACGAATCTTGTTGCTCCAAAACCGACGATTCCCATCTAAATTGGTCCATTATATTCAGACATGTCATATGCCTTATTCTCCACAACACAAACCAAAGACAGGCTTTACGTCTTGTGAGAAATGTTCCTTCCTCACTTTAGTTATTTAAAAGGTAAAATGAGAAGAAGTGAAAAACGTTCACTGAGATTCGAACTCGGATCACCTGATTAGAAGTCAGGACTACTTTCAACAGTCCACAAAATCAGCTGCCAATCATCGGCGATTTAAACACCATTATTCCTTGTTATATAACTTGTGCTCTAATGCCCTGGACATCATGAATATGCATAACGCAGATATAGAGCGCCTTCTTTGATATTGTTGGATCTCGTTAGGGAAAAAATATTTCGAGTCCCGGTCACAATTATTTTTTTTCGGCAATGAAAATAAATTCCCAAAGAAACCAATGATGAATCCCCATACTTCAAAGTGCTTTTTAAAATATTCAAAACTCTCAGAAACTACATGTCTTTATGAGATATTCTTACCAAAAGAAGACCACCCCATAAAACGAACGATATTTCGGAAACCGAAAAACGTAGCCATTTGAAAAAGGATCCCTCCACAACATGGCTTTATAGCGCCAATTTCGTACCCAACTCCTTCCAAAATGCTCACAATTGCAAGCCCCAAGTCCAGGCCAGAGGTGCAGTGCCATCTGTCTTCAATCCCCGAATTCCATTACTCTCAAAACCCTCTAATATAGACTAATTTAAATATATAACTTTTATTCAGGAGCTCGGCGGACGGATTTTTGGCCTACTTACTGGGGTGCACCCTTCAATATACTCAATATTTTGCTATTTTCCCTAAAACCAATTTTATGGCAAGAAAAAGGACTAATAACTCAAAAAAATTGGGAGAAAAACATTCTTAGGTCGATATGAGGCCTGCAACTTCTGTGCGCATTCCGATCCTCGGCTCTAGAGCGCCCCCAGGGCGTAAATTGAGTTCCAGCTCCTCCCATCCCAACCCCCAATCATCCCTCCCAACCCCCGGAAGAAATCCCCCTCGGCCTCCCGGGCCCCGCACTTTTTTTCTCGTAATCGTTTCAATTGGCCAATGGTCTATCGGCCTTTTGAAGATTTGTGAGCGTCTGTTCAGATCCGCCCTTGGTGACCCCTTTGAAATTATGTTTTCCCCCTCTCACGTAAGCAAATAAACCAGTGATCAATCCCCATACTTCAAATCCTTTGAAATACTTCCAAAGACGGTGAGGTGGGGAAACTGAACGCCATCTGCATATCTGCACGTAACCGTGAACGTATAAACACTGCCTTATGGGGTACCAGAACAATTGGAGGTACCCCACAAGGAATGCCCACCTACTTGTGGGGTACCGTTTTGGTACCCCACAAGTTTTTCACGTATATATGGATTTTACTCAAAAACTAGGAATTTCCAAGGTGGGTTGATATGTCGCAAATGGAAGAGTTTTAGAAAAGGGATATTAAGTGCGAATTTCAGCCTCGGAAATTAATTCTGTTTAAAATAGGAGCATTTTGAAATTAGTGTGCGACATTGCAAAATTTTAGTACACGAGAACAAAGGAAGTACCCCACTTCTATGCCTGGGTAAGGGTGTGTGCACCTACTTAGGCCTACGCCCATTCCGCCCAGGCCTCGCAGAATGTCCCCATAAATTTAAGTACATACACGAACGATGCCGTAAGCACAGTTAATACATCAGTTGCGATTCGATAACTTTCGGGAAAAAAAATGTGTAGGCCTATACACTGGGATGCATTGTTGGATGACATCGTTTACACTGTTAAACAAGTTGGGTATATGAGATGGTATTTTGCCAATTGAATGTCGGTCAACGTACCACCTGCCGACACTCTTGGGTAAATTCTTCCTTTTCGGGAAGAATTTTTTTTGTTTACAGTGTATTGGCGACCCTACCCTACAAACATTTGAGGGACATTATCCCACACTCAGTCCTGCGGGATCGCTGCCCATGGGAAAATATGGAATTCAGTTATCACATACCTTGTGTTTAACTCGGTAGATAGGCTACTCTTGATACAAGTAGATTCCTCTGCTCAGTTGTCCGAACATGACCATGATCCAGCACATACTAAAGTCGTCGCACGACATGTGATGTACTTCAGAATCTTACTTTTACTTCCTGCATCACTGGGACGGCCTCGATGCTTTTGGTTATTTAGAGTTTACGCACAAAAGTCTGGGCTGATATAGACTTGGTGCCAAGTCGGTTATTGTTCACGTACGTACGGGACCGGTTACTGGTTCCAAGCACGCAAATTATCACTGCAATGCACTGATCAGTGGTGAAGCCTGGTTCCCGGACTAAATGATGCTGACTACTGATGTTCAATAACCGACTTGGCGAAAACGTTTTCTATTTTGTACACAACATTATGGGAGTATTTTGAATCACCAGCGAATTCTATGCGAGCAATCTGATTGGTTCAGATTCCAGCGAGTATTCTAGGCCGCTACTGAAGGTCATTCTCATGACTTCGAGGGTTTGTGCTTTGTGTTGTGTAACATTCCAAAATTCATTATAGGGCATACACGACTCAAATAAATCAAGTATATCACAATGATACATTTTATTTCTATACACAACTGACCAAGTTGATGGATTTGGCCGTTAAATCGTCGCCCGGTCTGTAAACATGTCCCGACGTATTGAGAAGAACTCCACATGTAACGGAATGAACGAGTCCTCATTTGCATTGTTGTGCGCCATTGGATCTCACCGCATAGATTCACTGCATTATGTATTGCGCTGCACGCATATGAATATCGTTCCGAGAACGTAACCGTCAAGTCGTTTGATATGTCGCAACCCGGCCCATTACGAATTAGTCTTATACCAGCCGCGCCGATGGAGTGCGACTGAAGTTCACAGACAAAATACGAGTATCTAACGACTTGTCATCAAGTCTAGGGCTGATAGGGTATATGGGGTACTATTTACGACACATTACGTCGCCTCTCAACAGGCGCGATGTGTCGTAAAAAGTACACCATGAGAGTTGTCAGTGAAAAACCAGAGTGCCCAATGAGAGATGAGAGGCCACGTGATTGAATACCTGGGTCAGTCCTACCGTGGCGGGTTGTGATGGGTCGAAGGGTACATGCACAGGGTTCCTTAAGGAAGTCTTTAGGAATCAATCTGCCCCATAAGGAACGCTATGGAGTTTGAGATTTAAATAAGGAAAACAAAAGAGGGGAAACAATGGTTTTCCCCACAAGTATATAGGCTGGGTTTGTTTATGGTGTAAATCGAGGACACAAAATAATATGAAACATCCCTTAGCAATTGAGGACAGTATTCAAATTGAGGACGTCCTCGATTAGAAAATGTGCATAAAACCAATGGGAGCTGTTGCAAATATGAGAATGAACACAAGATCGATTAAGATGAACAATATAAAATCCTCGATTTACACCACAAACAATGTATGTGAGTTTGTTTCTGCATTCAACAGTGGACGTTGAGCACTAGAGGACAATATTAATTTTATTATTTTTATTATTTTTTATTATATTTTTAAATCAACCACACTGGAAAACGGACTAGGTGAATAGTATAACAATTATTTTGACAACTCTCCGCTTGTTGTACAACTCTGGAGCAGGTTGTCAGACCGACATATATTCGAGAGAGAGTGAGAATATCAAGTTAAAAAACCCAAACACTGATCAGGGGCGGATCAATGAATGTTTGGAGGGGGTTCATCAGGAAATCAATGCTGAAATATAGACAGGTTTTTTTTGTCCGGACACTTTGCTCCGTAAAATCAATGGGGGAGGGGGGGGGGGCGGCTCGTACCCATACTTTCAATGGGGGCGCGGTTCAAATCTAACGATTACAGATAGTTTACAAAAAGGCCTACACCCGTAACCCAGCAAGCTCTGTCCGTATTTTGTGCACAGGCGTATATCTATACCAGTATAGTTGTTTGGGGGTGTCAGAGCAGGGTTTTTTTAGCATTATTTTTTATGAAATTCTGAGGAAAATGTTTTATTTGACAGAGCTGGGGGGTTGACCCCAATCCCCCTCCCCCATCCCCGGATCCGCGCCTGCTGATAGAGAAGGCATGTGCAGGTCTTTGCGCCTGTTCAACTTTCAGCTAGTGCACTTTCTTGCCCCGGCCCGATCGCACCAGATGGTACCGGCCGGGAAGCAACCGGGGATGTGTTTACCGGAATTCATGTTAACAAAAATAAACAGGGTACGGATGCCGGAGGCCAAGTGAACTGATTCTGTGTCTAAAAAAATGTTGACTTTCTCTCTCGACACAGTGCCTCAGCAGTACACGTGTCTGTCTGACTCAGCCTTGTCTTTGATTTGGCTGATTTCCAAACACG